TCTTCTGCATACCTACCAAATTCATCCACCAATCTCCTGCAACTTCTCTTCAGAATCTCCCAAGAGCACAGTGTCATCAGCAAAGAGCAACTGTGACAACTCCCGCTTTGTGTGTGATTCTTATCTTTTAACTCCACGCCTCTTGCCAAGACCCTCGCATTTATTCTCTTACAACCTCATCTATAAATATATTAAACAACCACGGTGACATCACACATCCTTGTCTAAGGCCTACTTTTACTGGGAAATAATTTCCCTCTTTCCTACATACTCTAACTTGAGCCTCACTATCCTCGTAAAAACTCTTCACTGCTTTCAGTAACCTACCTCCTACACCATACACCTGCAACATCTGCCACATTGCCTCCCTATCCACCCTGTCATACGCCTTTTCCAAATCCATAAATGCCACAAAAACCTCTTTAGCCTTATCTAAATACTGTTCACTTGTATGTTTCACTGTAAACACCTGGTCTACACACCCTCTACCTTTCCTAAAGCCTCCTTGTTCATCTGCAATCCTCTCTCCGTCTTACTTTTAATTCTTTCAATAATAACTCTACCATACACTTTACCAGGTATACTCAACAGATAATTTTTGCACTCTCTTTTGTCCCCTTTGCCTTTATACAAGGCAAAGGGGTCTGTAAATCACTCTAGATCATTGAATCCCACATACTCAAGAAATCTTCTTACAGTTTTTTTTTTATTTTGTAGCTATAGAATGCCATCTTCTCATGTTCTAACTGATACAATTATAGATTGTCATTAGAAAATAAGTTTGAGATATTTTGTAATTTTATTGTACATTTTGTCATTTGTAAGGACATTTTTAGGCTTTTATTAAGTACTATCTAAAGATTTTAGTAAGAATACTACTTTGTTGTGCTTACAGTAAGTAATGTCAAGCCAGTTAAATTTATAATGATATGCTGAACATGAGATTTTACATCATACAGCTATATGGGACCATGGATTGCCAAGCGAAGAACGCCAAGCATCCAACAAAAATATGATGAAATTGGTGGGGGATCTCCAATTTTTCGATGGACTGATATACAAGTAAGCAGAGGGAGGGACAATATATGCTTGGTTATTTAATATATTGTATTAAATATATTGTATTTAGTATATTGTATTAAAGGCAAAATATAGTTGACCCACCTTGTGGGTCGACTATGCTACATGAAGTACAGCTTGTCCTAGATGTAGATGTCTGCTGTCTATCAGCTGCATGTGCCCTGGGTATAGATATCTGTTATCTGTCAGCTGCATGTCTTGGATCTAGATGGCTGTTATCTGTCAGCTGCATGTCTTGGATCTAGATGGCTGTTATCTGTCAGCTGCATGTCTTGGATCTAGATGGCTGTTATCTGTCAGCTGCATGTCTTGGATCTAGATGGCTGTTATCTATCAGCTATGTGTGTCTGGGGTATAGATATCTGCTGTTTGTCAACTTCATGTATACTGGATGTATATGGCTACTGTCTATCAACTGCGTGTGTCCTGGATGTCTATGGGTGTTGTTTATCAATTGGATGTGAACTTTTGACATGAGACTACTATTCTACAAACACTGTCCTGTAACACTCAGAGATTGGTGGCTCTAACATCCAAGACCACACTGCACTCTTGCACTCTTTCCTTGGGCCAATGCACTTTCTGTTGTTTCTTTAACATGTTGTATCCCTTCAGAAATATTTGTCATATTACACTAAGTGATTTCCTGAGTGTCTTCCTCTTATTTCTTTTTTAAATTTGCAAGTTTATGAAGCTGCATCTCCTCTCCCATTAATGAAGGGATTAAGATCCTCTGTACAGCCTCTCCTCACTTAACGACAGGGTTGTCTGCCCAAAATGCCCCGACATGATAGTGGCTATCTTTGTACTTAGCAGATCAAAATTGTAATTACACATTGTAACCTTTACAAAGAAAAACTTGATCTTATCTTATCTAAGAGTAGGTCAGTAAGCAAATTGGTCATTAGGTGAAGAACATACTATAGTGGTAGTGGGTTTATGTCAACCATCTTTAGATATTTTTTTTAATGTCACCCTTGCACCATTTATAACATTTCTGGTATATTTTTAAATCTTTATACAGTAGTGTACTGTATACTGTAATAAACAGAATAGAGAAAATCAGCTCTTATATACATTATTTATGTTTCCATACTGGTTGGAGAGCTGGTCGTGAGTCCGAGTGGAGAGAGACTGTACTCTCTTTTATAAACTGAGACATGGAATATTTCTTTCTTATAGGGGTTATTTGGCCACTTATAACACTAACAACAGCAATAATAATAATAATAATAATAATAATAATAATAATAATAGTAATAATAATAGTAATTAAATATTTTTTTTTTTTTTTTTATTATCACACCGGCCGATTTCCCACCAAGGCAGGGTGGCCCTAAAAGAAAAACTTTACATCCATCCCATCCATCACTGTCCCTTTCCAGAAGGGGCTTACACTACATTTTTAAATGCAACATTGAACACCCCTGCCTTCAGAGTGCAGGCGTACTTCCCATCTCCAGGACTCAAGTCCCCTGCCGGTTTCCCTGAATCCCTTCAAAATGTTACTTGCTCACACTCAAAGCACGTCAAGTATTAAAAACCATTTGTCTCATTCACTCCTATCAAACACGCTCACGCATTGCCTTTTGAAGTCCAAGCCCACTCGCCACAAAACCACTTACCCCCTCCCATAACCCCTAGGTCCGACACCCTAACCCCCCTTCCTTCCACTACAGACTGATACACTCTTGAAGTCATTCTGTTCGCTCCAAATTTTCTCTACATGTCCGAACCACCTCAACAACCCTTCCTCAGCCCTCTGGACAACAGTTTTGGTTAATCCCGACCTCCTCCTAACTTCAAACTACGATTCTCTGCATTATATTCACACCACACATTTGCCTCAAATGACATCTCCACTGGCTCCGACCTCCCTCGCTAAACATTCATTTACCCACCTTCACACCATTTTAAGAGCGTTGGTAAAACTATACTCTCATACATTCCTCCTTGCCTCAAGACAAATTCTTTTGTTTCCACAGACTCCTAAGTGCACCACTCACTCATTTTTCCTCATCAATTCTAGATTCACCTCATCTTTCATAGACCCATCCGCTGAACACGGTCCACTCCCAAATATAATACGTTCACCTCCCCATATCTCCTCTCCTCCAATCTGATATTCAATCTTTCAAACACCTAATCTTTTTGTTATCCTCATAACTTACTCTTTCCGTATTCACCTTTAATTTTTTCTTTGCACACCCTACCAAATTCATCCACCAATCCTGCAACTTCTCTTCACACTCCCAAGAGCACAGTGTCACAGCAAAGACGCAGCCTTTACAAACCCACCCTTTTTCTGATTCTTATCTTTTAACTCACACGCTCTTGCCAAAACCCTCGCATTTACTTCTCTTACAACCCATCTATAAATATATTAAACAACCACGGTGACATCACACATCCTAGTCTAAGGCCTACTTTATACGGAAAAAATTTCCCTCTTTCCTACATACTCTAACTTGAGCCCACACTCACTTAAAAACTCTTCACTGCTTTACAGTAACCTACCTCCTACACCATACATTCAACATCAGCCACATTGCCCCCCTATCCACCCTGTCATACCGCCTTTTCCAATCCATAAATCCAAAAGACCTCTTTAGCCTTATCTAAATACTGTTCACTTATATGTTTCACTGTAAACACTGTCCACCACACCCCTACCTTTCCAAAGCCTCCTGTTCATCTGCTATCCCTATTCTCCGTCTTACTTAATTCTTCAATTATAACCTCTACCATACACATTACCAGGTACACTCAACATGACTTATCCTCCCTATAATTTTTGCACTCCTTTTTATCCCCTTTGCCTTATACAAAGAACTATGCATGCTCTCTGCCATCCCTCAGGTACCTTACCCTCATACCATACATTTATTAAATAATTGCACCAACCACTCCAAAACTATATCCCACCCTGCTTTTAACATTTCTATCTTTATCCCATCATCCGGCTGCCTTACCCCCTTTCATTTACCTACTGCCTCACGAACTTCCCCCACACTCACAACTGGCTCTTCCTCACTCCTACAAGAAGTATTCCTCCTTGCCCTATACACGAAATCACAGCTTCCCTATCTTCATCAACATTTAATACACCCAAAATATTCCTTCCATCTTCCCAATACCTCTAACTCTCCATTTAATAACTCTCCTCTCCTTTTTAACTGACAAATCCATTTGTTCTCTAGGCTTTCTAACTTGTTAATCTCACTCCAAAAAATTTTTCTTATTTTCAACAAAATTTGTTGATAACATCTCACCCACTCTCTCATTTGCTCTCTTTTACATTGCTTCACCACTCTCTTAACTTCTCTCTTTTTCTCCATATACTCTTCCCTCCTTGCATCACTTCTACTTTGTAAAAACTTCTCATATGCTAACTTTTTCTCCCTTACTACTCTCTTTACATCATCATTCCACCAATCGCTCCTCTTCCCTCCTGCACCCACTTTCTGTAACCACAAACTTTGCTGAACACTCTAACACAACATTTTTAAACCTACCCCATTACCTCTTCGAACCCCATTGCCTATGCTCTCATTAGCCCATCTATCCTCCCAAAAGCTGTTTATTATCTTACCCTAACTGCCTCCTCTTTTAGTTTATAAACCTTCACCTCTCTCTTCCCTGATGCTTCTATTCTCCTTGTATCCCATCTACCTTTTACTCTCAGTGTAGCTACAACAGTCTTTTATCTACCAATACATAATCCAACAAACTACTGTCATTTCGCCCTACATCATATCGTGTATACTTATTTATCCTCTTTTTCTTAAAATATGTATTACCTATAACTAAACCCCTTTCTATACAAAGTTCAATCAAAGGGCTCCCATTATCATTTACACCTGGCACCCCAAACTTACCTACCACACCCTCTCTAAAAGTTTCTCCTACTTTAGCATTCAAGTCCCCTACCACAATTACTCTCTCACTTGGTTCAAAGGCTCCTATACATTCACTTAACATCTCCCAAAATCTCTCTCTCTCCTCTGCATTCCTCTCTTCTCCAGGTGCATACACGCTTATTATGATTAAATAATAATAATAAAATAATAATAATATGTTCAAAGGAGGTGCCTTGATTCTGGTGAAGGGCTCTTGATCCAAAAAATTATATCTACTCTCTTCTTCCTCGGATCAAACCTGATTACATCCAGTCCCCAGGCACTATATGGCCTCTACATTTTTAATGCTCACTATGCCATCAAGATGAGTGCCTTGATGATGGTCAAGGGTTTTTGATTCAGTGAATTGGAGCTGTTCTACCCTTCCTTGAATCAGATCTGACTAACCCCTTATTACCCCAGTGTTGTTTGACCCATTCAGGTTTAGCACTTCCCCACAAATGTAAAGTGATAATAATTAACTCTGCTACATCAGATTTTACATCAAGAATAGTGTTCTAATATTTCTTTTTCAAGTTCTAAATTACATTTTTCAAGAATGGGCACAAGAAAAACTTAAAGAATTTTGTACTGGTGCATATCATGGGTGGGCAACCCATTTTTAAATATAGCCACAGATGTGGCAAGTAAGAAGTGACATTCGCCTCACTGTGGAGAAATTGGGTTGCTCAGTTGAATGTTAAAAAGCAGAATAAACTCAGATTCACCACACTTTAGTTGCCAGTTTGCCACTTGTGGCAGTTGGTGACAGGGTTGCTCTGGGTGTATATAATGTCTTCAGTGTAATAATTTTATTCTAGATATCTTGTAATGGCTTCGCTCTTGACCAAAAAAAAATTGTCAGATGTTTATAACTCATTTGTTTTATTTTCAGGGTGAGCAGCTGTGTAGTCGTCTAGACACTGTCTGCCCTCACTCGGCACCACATAAGCACTACATTGGTTTTCGTTATGCTAATCCTCTTACCGAAGATACATTAGAACAGATGGAAAAGTATGTACCTGATGAAATATATTGTGTATAGCAGTAGGTGAACAGGGGAGTTATAAAGAAAGAAATCACTTTTTTTAACACACCGGCCGTCTCCCACCGAGGCAAGGTGACCCAAACAAGAAGAAACACTTTCGTCATCACTCAGTTCAACACTGTCTTGCCAGAGGCATTCTGATACTACAGTTCAGATGCTCCTTCAAACTGCAACATTTCCAACCCTCCTTCAGAGTACAGGCACTTCACTTCCCACCCCTCCTTCAGAGTACAGGCACTGCACTTCCCACCCCTCCTTCAGAGTACAGGCACTTCACTTCCCACCCCTCCTTCAGAGTACAGGCACTTCACTTCCCACCCCTCCTTCAGAGTACAGGCACTTCACTTCCCACCCCTCCTTCAGAGTACAGGCACTTCACTTCCTCACCCTCTCCTTCAGAGTACAGGCACTTCACTTCCCACCCCTCCTTCAGAGTACAGGCACTTCACTTCCCACCCCTCCTTCAGAGTACAGGCACTTCACTTCCCACCCCTCCTTAGAGTACAGGCACTTCACTTCCCACCCCTCCTTCAGAGTACAGGCACTGCACTTCCCACCCCTCCTTCAGAGTACAGGCACTTCACTTCCACACCCTCCTCTCAGAGTACAGGCACTTCACTTCCCACCCCTCCTTCAGAGTACAGGCACTTCCTTCCCACCCCTCCTTCAGAGTACAGGCACTTCACTTCCCACCCCTCCTTCAGAGTACAGGCACTGCACTTCCCACCCCTCCTTCAGAGTACAGGCACTTCACTTCCCACCCCTCCTTCAGAGTACAGGCACTGCACTTCCCACCCCTCCTTCAGAGTACAGGCACTTCACTTCCCACCCCTCCTTCAGAGTACAGGCACTTCACTTCCCACCCCTCCTTCAGAGTACAGGCACTTCACTTCCCACCCCTCCTTCAGAGTACAGGCACTTCACTTCTCACCCCTCCTTCAGAGTACAGGCACTTCACTTCCCACCCCTCCTTCAGAGTACAGGCACTTCACTTCCACACCCCTCCTTCAGAGTACAGGCACTTCACTTCCCACCCCTCCTTCAGAGTACAGGCACTTCACTTCCCACCCCATCCTTCAGAGTACAGCACTTCACTTCTCACCCCTCCTTCAGAGTACAGTGCACTTCACTTCCCACCCCTCCTTCAGAGTACAGGCACTTCACTTCCCACCCCTCCTTCAGAGTACAGGCACTTCACTTCCCACCCCTCCTTCAGAGTACAGGCACTTCACTTCCCACCCCTCCTTCAAGTACAGGCACTTCACTTCTCACCCCTCCTTCAGAGTAACAGGCACTTCACTTCCCACCCTCCTTCAGAGTACAGGCACTTCACTTCCACCCCTCCTTCAGAGTACAGGCACTTCACTTCCCACCCCTCCTTCAGAGTACAGGCACTTCACTTCCCACCCCTCCTCAGAGTACAGGCACTTCACTTCTCACCCCTCCTTCAGAGTACAGGCACTTCACTTCCCACCCCTCCTTCAGAGTACAGGCACTTTTCACTTCCCACCCCTCCTTCAGAGTACAGGCACTTCACTTCCCACCCCTCCTTCAGAGTACAGGCACTTCACTTCCCACCCCTCCTTCAGAGTACAGGCACTTCACTTCTCACCCCTCCTTCAGAGTACAGGCACTTCACTTCCCACCCCTCCTTCGGAGTACAGGCACTGCACTTCCCACCTCCAGAACTCAAGTCCAAGAAACTGACTTCCCAGAATTACTTCGTAAACATTATCTTCCTTACTCTCCAAATAAGTAAATAAACAAATAAAATAATTTAAAAAATTATTTCTTATAAGCCATACCAGTAGTTATACATTTCTAATCATTGTGTATAAGATTTGATCTTAATATAATATGATTTTATACAGTTGTAGGCTCAGAAAAAAGCCACTAATTATGCAGTGTATTTCAGAGAAACTAATCAAAAGGCTTAAATACTACATAAATCTAGACCTCTATATAATTAGTGTCATTAAATATTGGTCAATATAGCTAGCTAAATAAGAGTTATACTGGTATAGTATAGTTATACAAGTATAGTATATCAATATAGGAATTGGAAGAGTTGTAAAAGTTTATCAATATATGAGCAGGAAGAGGGTTATATCTTCTTTTAAAAGTATGTTTATACATAGGTAGAAGTGTTAGAGTTATAATGTATGCTAATACTGAAGCTAGAGAAGTTATGCACTTGGAAGAATGTTTTGTGTTAGAATGTAGGAACTTTGTGTGTGGATGTTGTACAATGTATCCAAGACAAGTTCCATGAAGTGTCAGAATGTACAGCTGAGTGTATATTCAATTTAAATATTTTTTAACATGTAATTTTGTAATTAAAGTGTTTACACTCCACAGGGATGGTGTAGAGAACTGTATTGCATTCTCACAGTATCCACAGTACAGTTGTAGCACCACCGGCTCCAGCATGAATGCCATCCAACAATTTTATGCTAACAGGTGAGAAATTTCCACTTGCTACTCATCTGCTAGTTTTTCAGCATCTAGGCTCATTCTCTTTCAAATTTGACTAATGAGTGAGGCAAGCACATCTTCTATTTAGGTGGAGTAAAGGTATATACAGAGATGAAACGAAATTTTGTTTATGACTATTAATTGTCAGTCACAATATCTGTTTCATTTTTCTTCTATGCTATTTTAGATTTATGTGGCAAAGGCAGAATCCTTTTTCAGCATTTAATCTATAAATCTTGTATGCACCTTTAAATGTCAGAAGCTCAGCTACTGTGAGTGAATTTTTTTTTTTAATCTTATTTATTTGATTTAATAAATAATATATTTTCGATTTTTTTTTTTCAACAAACCAGCCATATCCCACCAAGGCAGGGTGACCTAAACAGAAAGAAAGAGTCTCTTTTTTAAAATTAGTAATGTGTACGGGAGAAAGGGTTACTAGCCGCTTCCTCTTGGCATTTTAGTCACCTCTTACAACACACATGGATTTTCCAAATGTACTAAAATATTTAATATAAAGTACTTGAAATGTACTCTCTGGCACATGCTGGCTGTCTCCCACTGAGGCAAGGTGACCTAAAAAAAGAAACACTTTCACCATCATTCACACTATCACTGTCTTGCCAGAGGCACAGATACAGTACAGGAAGCCCTCCACATTCACGAGGGTTAGGGGATCAAGAGCCTCGCGAATCTTGAAAATTCATGAATGTTTGTTGCTCAAATATGATGTAGGGAAATATAATAACTGTACTGTAGTGTTAGTGAATGTTTTGATGCACAAATATATTGTAGGGAAATATAATAATTGCATTTACTTAGTCTAACAGTACCACTTCCTAAACCTATTGAACCACGAACAATCATAAAACACATGAAAACATCGTAAAATATTGTATATACATGTTATGCTGGACATTCGCGAATGTTCGAAGCTCACAAAAGTGGAACTTGCAAAAGTGCAGGGCTAGCTGTATATGATTATTTTTACACTACTATAACAAGACTGAAGTGAGAGATATTGAAGTGCAAAATAAAACTAATAAAAAGGAGAGGCAGTGTAGGCGGTACAATAAAAGAGCATCATGTCAATATCTGTGGCCCAAGATTCCTCAACTTGCTACTAACAGATTCTCATATGCAAAATCAGGGGTAAAAACCACATCCAGTATTGGTTCCTTGCTTAAGAAAATAGAACTTACACTGATGACCATGAAGAATTTAGCAAAATACTTAAAAGATAAGATTTTATCTGGATTTTTAGCCCCAGAGGGTTAGCCACCCAGGATAACCCAAGAAAAGCAGTCCATCATTGAGGGACTGTCTGTCTGATTTTCATTGGTGTCCTCAATCTTGTCCCCCAGGATGTGACCCACACCAGTCAACTGATACCCAGGTACCTACTTACTTGCTAAGTGAATGGGGACAGTAGGTGTAAGGAAACACACCCAGTGTTTCCACCCTTGCCAGGGATCAAATCACGAACACACTGTGTGTGAGGTGAGAGCGTTGCCTACCAGGCCACAGGACACCTTAGTCACAATATGACCTAGTGTTCGGTGAGGCACTAATCGGACTTAAGATTGACAATCAAAATAAATTTTTGATGAATGAGACCCAAAACACTGCCAACATCTCCAGAATTTCTGACATAACTCAACTTTGAAGAAGCACTGATAGAAGCCATTGACAGTGTGCCCGTATACTCTCTCACGACTCTTGGAACTCCACATTCATCCAAAACTGTAACAAAAAAAATCACATGCCTTAAATATCCTCAGAAAACTGAATTTAAACATTTAAGTCTTCTCACAGTCATTAAAACCACAGATATAGCCCCACTTCACAAAGGTGTAAGTGTACATCTTATGTAATAAGAACCATTAAGTTATACTTAAGCAAGCTACAAGAAAACATAAAAATAATTTTACAATAGCACTGTACCAGAAGAAAAGATAAGCAAATAGAAAAAATGCTGATTCTTACAACAGTCATTAACATCAGTCAGTCTTTCTTACAGCATCGTTGATTTCGGGAACATTAATTATCCCTCTAAAGTTGATGAAGTCTCAAAGGTTTGAGATTCCAGGAGTCTTCAGTCCAAGGATAAAAAGTAAGCAGCTATATATACGTATGCTACATACAACAAACAGAGCAAACTTCAACTCATCTGTCAACATTGCAAGTTCAAACTACTAACCCTCATTTCTTAGACTGGTAGAGGCAAGATTCTGACTGACAAGTACCATGTCCAAAGTACATACAAGCAACATGACCCCATGCCCTCTGATATTAAAAGTTGTTGACAGAAGATAATTTCACCCCAGGAATACAGTGTGCATGTAGAGAAGCCAACACACAAAGTATAGAACCATATAGCCATACATAATATGGTTACTAATTATTTTTGGTGGCAGTGCTAGTCTTGCACATGCAATTATCATCATCATCATAGATATGGTTAGGAGAGCAGGTGTTGAGGAAATGAGATGTGAACCTGATTGTCAGGTCAGGAGGGTTGTGTGTCCTCAGGACCATGTGAACCAAGGATCATGCCAACTAGTCTGAATGAGTGCCAATTCAAGATATTTGTTTTTTTTCTGTTTTTTAAGGATAACAATACTCACTCCAGGCCAGTTTGTGTAGTGTGAAGCTATATTATAATATAAAACATAGGGTTTATTGCTGTTATTGGTGCTGCAAACGTTCGTTGTTACCAATTCATTGTGGGGGTTTTCTTAGAGGTAGCGAGCTTGTAGTTATATGCAGGGTAGATGAAAGTCTTGTAGACTAAACTGAGATATATTTGACACAGTTCACTCAGGTAGATCAACAGTATAGATGCACTAAGGACCAGGGTCCAGAAGGACGGGGGTCTTGCCGTCAGGTCGACTAACTAGTCTCTCTTTGCCCTACATTATCACTCAAGGCTTTGGCTGACACCTTGTGCAGGCCCTCAAGTGAGGATAATGTGAGACAGGCCCAAGCTGGCATTATGAAATTACGGGACAAGAATAACATTATAGTGTTCATATACGTGTATGGAAAAATCCCAAGCTGTCTTGGCCCACTTGTACCAGGGATGGTATAGATGCCTGCATATGATTAACATTAGCTCTGCAGAGAATGCAAGCATCAACACTATCCTTGCAAAAAAAAAAATTAATGAGTGAGATGGATAGGGATTTGTCCACACGTGTATACAAACTCAGATGTGGTTGCTGCACCAATAACACAATAACCTGTGTTTTTTTTTTTTGTGTTAGGTCTGCCTCTTGATTCTTCTTCCTTTCTGAACTGGTAGTTGTATTGGTTTCAGCTGTTACAGTAATGTTGGTTTCCTTTTCCTTCTCACATCACTTTGCACCTTCCAAGATTGGTCTCGACCATTTTTATTGTGACAAAAAGAATTCACCTCATCAAACTGGCATTTACTGGACCAGTTGTGCAGTCTGTAATCTCATTTTGCTACTTTCCTTTGTCTCTATTCTTTTCATGAAGCTTAACTTATCATCCCAAAATATACTGACATGTAAGAATTTATCTCCTTTTATATACACACACACACACACACACATGTACAGTAAGATCACAGTAAACAGGTTATATCACAATATGTAAAACAACCACTGTGAAAAAATATTGAAATTCCAAGCACTTTTATGATAATTTGGGAAATCACGAAAGTGCTTGGAATTTTACTATTTTTTCGGTGGTTGTTTTGCAAGCACACACATGTATACATACATATACATACACAGAATGTAATTTTCACTTTCTCTGATATTTTACTTTCATTTTGACAGATTTCTTTTCTTTGATAAATTGGATTAAATATAACATGAAACTTGATATATTGTTAAGCCAACTAATAGAATAGACAGTGTTTTCAGTATTTTAATGGTAGATGCTTATGATACATTTGCACAATTGATTTACAGATCTGTAGAGACAAACATGCGCTGGAGTGTAATTGACAGATGGTGTACAAACTCTTTCCTGGTAAAATGCTTTGCTGACAACATCAGGAATGAGCTAAACCAGTTTCCCAAGGAGAAACAAAAGGATGTTTTTATTCTCTTTTCTGCTCATTCTTTGCCTTTAAGGGTAGGTAATTTATTTTTCTTTATATTTGTTTTTTAATTGAAGATGCTCTACTTTCATTTGTGTCAGACATGGTGGATTTGATGAAACATGTCAAACACTTTTTTGCAGCCTCTCCTCACTTAGCAACGTACTTATTTACCAACTGGCTCTCTGATCAGTATGCATGCCTAAATAATGTATATTAGAACTGATTTCCTCTATTCTGTTTAATAAAATATACAGTACACTACTGTATAAACATTTAAAAATATACCAGAAATGTTATAAATGGTACAAAGGTGACATTAAAACAATATCAAAGATGGTTGACACAAACCCACTACCATTATAGTATGCTCCTCACTTAACAACGAATTCTTTTACCGACGAGGTCTTAGGAACAGAACTCCATCATTAAGTGAGGAGAGACTGTATTTCCTTTTGATTAACCCTTTCAGGGTTTCCGACGTACTAGTACGGCTTATGCGCCAGAGTTTTTGACGTACTAGTACGCCTAAATTCTAGCGCCCTCAAATCTAGCAAGAGAAAGCTTGTAGGCCTACATATGAAAGAATGGGACAATGTGGTCGATGTGCGCAGTATAAAAAAAATCCTGCAGCACACAGTGCGTAATGAGAAAAAGAAAACTTTGACCGTGTTTTTGGTTTAAAACAGCGACTTTGCACTGTATTTTTGTATGGTATTTATGGTTGTATTCTAGTTTTCCTGGTCTTATTTTATAGAATGAAAGACATATTACAGAAATTGAGACGATTTTGATTGCTTTCACAATGAAAAGTACCTTGAAATTGAGCTCAAAGTAGCAGAAATGTTCAATTTTTGCCAAAGTTCAAAAGTAAACAAATCATGCCACGCGTCCAATACACGTCAACTGGTGAGTCTGATGTTCTTTCACAAGTGCACTGATATTATTTATACCATTTCTACACTAATACAGTAGTCTTCATAACAGTAAATCTTCTATTTTTTATGAGAATAAAAATTCAGAGTGGAAAGCAAAAGAAATATAACAGAGGCCTGAGGACGTGACTAATGAACAGAGGAAATGTTATTTTAGTGCCAGGAATGTCTTTCTTGTTTATTCTGGACCCTATTTGGAAATTGGCATCTTTTGAAATTTGTGTGAAATTGGCAAAATTGCTTATTTCTGACCACTTTATAGGATAGTTGAAATCGATAAATGGGTAGTTTCTTGTACTCATTCGATAGAAAAAATGGAGTTCTAGCGAAATAGTTATGATTTTTGTCGACTAGTAAACTGGAATTGGCCAAAAATAGGGCTCAAAGTGGGCAAAATTGCCAGTGCGTAAACATCGTCGAGACCGCTAACGTCACGAGAGCATAATTCCGTAAGTTTTCCATCAAATTTCATAATTTTGGTGTCATTATGATCAGGAAAAGATTCTCTATCTTTTCATAAGAAAAAAAAAAAAAATTCCGAAAAATTTTCGACCCTGAGAACAAGTTTCGGAGAGGGCCTCTCGACCCTAAAAGGGTTAATGCATAAGATTAGCATAAGGTGGAATGCTCAGTGTTGCCAGTAGTAAATGTCATCAGACATGTATTGTTTCATTGTCATCTTTAAAACCTAGCCAAGAAAATTTACTACAATTTAGTGTGATTATTATTAGAGATGCTATCTAGGTCTTGTTAGCAAATCTATCTTGGTACTATTTTGTAATTTTTATAAATAAATTTTTCAGGTTGATATAAATTGACATGTGTATTTATTTTGCACATGTTGATTTCTTGAGTAAGTCATGTTCAGATGTCATATCAGATTTTGTGTGGTATGAATATTATGCACAGAATCCATAGCTTGAAGATTAGAAAGAGGTGCGGGGTTTCTAAAAGTATCATCCAAAGGGCTAAGGAAAGGTTATTGAGGTGGTTTGGATATTTAGAGAGGATGGAACCAAATAGAATGACTTAGAGAATGTATAAACTTGTAGTGGAAGGAAGGTGGAGTAGGGATCATCCTATGAAAGGTTGGAGAGAGGGAGTAAAGCAGGTTTTGTGTGCGAGGGGCTTAGACTTCCAGCAATGCATGCGTGAGTGTTAGATAAGAGCGAGTGAAGGGAAATGGTTTTTTATGACTTGATGTGCTTTTGGGGTGTGAGCAAAGTAACATTTAATAAAGAAGGGATTCAGGGAAACCGGCAGGCCGGACTTGAGGTGGGAAGGACAGTGCCTGCACTCTGAAGGAGGGGTAGAGATATGCTGCAGTTTTTGAACTGTAGTGTAAACATGCGTTTGGCAAGATGTTGATAGAGTGAATGATGATAAAAGTTTTTCTTCTTTTTCTGGTCCCCCTGCCTTGGTGGGAAACTACCCGTACATTATACATGAATGGCATCTCATTTTGTATTATAACCAAAATGTAGCACCCTATTTTTGACATCCTCCAACTTACTGGTCTTATTAAATTTGGACAATGTATGTACATAGAAGGGAGGTTGTTTGAACAACATATAGCTTAGACAGAAGGTTTAATAATGATTGTTTTTTTTCTTTTTTTATTCGCCGGTATTCTCCCGGCCCGGGTCTTTTCCAAGTAGTGGTGACCCGGCCTTGGCTCCCTATCTGGGGAGTGTCTCGAGACTTAAGTCTCCCATGGGAGGAGGTACAAGTACCTCCTCATCTTTGGGACCAAGTGTCCCCAGGCCTAGCCACATTCCCTGCCCTCACGGGGCTCGTAGGGAGAAGCTAGGCCTCTGGTCTACCATCTGCCCCTCCCCAAAGGGGCTCGTGGGGATGGGAGTCTTATGAGCTGCAGATGGTAGCAAGCTCAGGCCATCACTAATAATAATGATTGCTAATTACCTTGACAGAGCAGCTGTTAGTATAGAAATGATATCCAAAGCAACCCAGGATCAAATTTAGTTTAAAAAATATGTCTTACCAAGCCCCTAAATGGGAATTGACTCTATATAAAACATCTGTACTTATGCCAGATTTATTCAAACCTGCAGAATAGATACCAGCAAGTGCTTGAGACAAATGAACAAACACTAGAACATATTTAGAAAAAGTTTGGGTCTTGGGACGTCGATCACTTCTAACGTACACAGTTTTGCAATTTTTTTTTTTTTTTTTTAACAAGTTGGCCGTCTCCCACCGAGGCAGGGTGACCCAAAAAGAAAGAAAATCCCCAAAAAGAAAATACTTTCATCATCATTCAACACTTTCACCTCACTCGCACATAATCACTGGTTTTGCAGAGGTGCTCAGAATACAACAGCTTAGAAGTATATACATATAAAAATACACAATATATCCCTCCAAACTGCCAGTATTTCAAACCCCTCCTTTAGAGTGCAGGTATTGTACTTCCCATTTCCAGGACTCAAGTCTGGCGCTATAAAATAACCAGTTTCCCTGAATCCCTTCACCAAACATTGCCCTGTTCACACTCCAACAGCTTATCAGGTCCCAAATACCATTCGTCTCCATTCACTTCTATCTAACACGCTCATGCACGCTTGCTGGAAATCCAAGTCCCTCGCCCACAAAACCTCCTTTACCCCTTCCCTCCAACCTTATCGAGGACGACCCCTACCCCGCCTTCCTTTCCCTACAGATTTATACGCTCTCCATGTCATTCTACTTTGATCCATTCTCTCTAAATGACTAAACCACCTCAACAACCCCTCTTCAGCCCTCTGACTAATACTTTTATTAACTCCACACCTCCTAATTTCCACACTCCGAATTTTCTGCATGATATTTACACCACACAATGCCCTTAGACAGGATATCTCCACTGCCTCTAACTGCCTCCTCACTGCAGCATTTACAACCCAAGCTTCACACCCATATAAGAGTGTTGGTACTACTATACTTTCATACATTCCCTTCTTTGCCTCCATAGATAACATTTTTTGTCTTCACATATACCTCAATGCACCACTCACCATTTTTCCTTCATCAATTCTATGATTAACCTCATCCTTTACAAATCCATCCGCTGACACATCAACTCCCAAATATCTGAAAACATTCACTTCTTCCATACTCCTCTTCCCAAATTTGATATCCAATTTTTCCTTATCTAAATCATTTGATACCCTCATCACCTTTCTCTTTTCTATGTTCACTTTCAACTTTCTGCCTTTACACACATTCCCAAATTCGTCCACTAACCTTTGCAATTTTTCTTTAGAATCTCCCATAAGCACCCTCTCCTGAACACCCTAGCATTTACTTCTTTTACAACCCCATCTATAAATATATTAAACAACCATGGTGACATTACACATACCTGTCTAAGACCTACTTTTACCGGGAAGTATTCTCCCTCTCTTCTACACACCCTAACCTGAGCCTCACTATCCTCATAAAAACTCTTTACAGCATTTAGTAACTTACCACCTATTCCATATACTTGCAACATCTGCCACATTGCTCCCCTATCCACTCTATCATAAGCCTTTTCTAAATCCATAAATGCAATAAAAACTTCCCTACCTTTATCTAAATACTGTTCACATATATGCTTCAATGTAAACACTTGATCTACACATCCCCTACCCACTCTAAAACCTCCTTGCTTATCCACAATTCTACATTCTGTCTTACCTCTAATTCTTTCAATAATAACTCTACTGTACACTTTTCCTGGTATACTCAGTAAACTTATTCCTGTATAATTTTTACAATCTCTTTTGTCCCCCTTCCCTTTATATAAAGGGACTATACACTCTCTCTGCCAATCCCTAGGTACCTTCCCCTCTTTCATACATTTATTAACCCTTTGACTGTCGTGGCTGTATATATACGTCTTACAAGGTACCGTGTTTGACGTATATATACTCATAATTTCTAGCGGCTTCAAATCAAGCAGGAGAAAGCTGGTAGGCCCACATGTGAGAGAATGGGTCTGTGTGGTCAGTGTGCACCATATAAAAAAAAATCCTGGAACACGCAGTGCATAATGAGAAAAAAAAACTCCGACCGTTTTTTTAATTAAAATGCCGACTTTGTGGTCTATTTTTGTATAGTATTTATGGTTGTATTCTCGTTTTCTTGGTCTCATTTGATAGAATGGAAAACATATTATAGAAATAGAGGTGATTTTGATTGATTTTACTATAAAAAGAACCTAGAAATGGAGCTCAAAGTAGGGGAAATGTTTGATTTTTGCCAATGTTCAAAAGTAAACAAATGATGCCATTGTCCAATAAATGTCCAACTAGCCATTCTAATATGCAGTCATGAATGGGTTGATGTTATTTATACAATTATTACAGTATTGCAGTAGTCTGCATAATAGTAAGTCTTCTGTTTTTTTGTTTGAATAAAAATTCAAAATAGAAAGCAAGAGTAATATCAGAGGGACCTGGAGACATGACTGATGAACAAAGAAAATGTTATTTTAGAGTCAGGAATGTCTGCATTGTTCATTCTGGACCTTATTTTGAAATTGTCATATTTTTTAGTTTTCGTGAAATTGGCCAAATTGGTAAATGGGCAGTTTCTTGTACTCAATCGATAGAAAAAATGGAGTTCTAAAGAAATAGCTATGAGTTTGGGCGACTGGAACAATGGAATTAGCCGAAAATAGGGCTCAAAGTGGGCGAAATCGCCGATTTGTAAAGAGCGCCGAGGTCGCTAACTTCGCGAGAGCATAATTCCGTCAGTTTTCCATCAAATTTTGTTTTTTTGGTGTCATTACAATCGGGAAAAGATTCTCTATCATTTCATAAAAAAATACTTCTTTTTTTTTTTTTAATTTTGCGACACCAGGAGACACCTCAGGATTGGGGGTTGCGACAGTCAAAGGGTTAAACAAAAATACCAACCACCCCAACACTATCCACCCCTGCTTTTAACATTTCTGTCAGGATCCCGTCAGTTCCAGCTGCTTTACCCCCTTTCATTCTACGTAATGCCTCACGCACCTCCCCCACACTCGCATCCCGCTCTTCTTCACTCCTAAAAGATGGTATACCTCCCTGGCCAGTGCATGAAATTACCGCCTCCCTTTTTTCGTCGACATTTAAAATTATTATTATTATTATAATCAAAAAGAAGCGCTAAGCCACAAGGACTATACAGATTCGACATTTAAAAGTTCCTCAAAATATTCTCGCCATCTCCCCATCTACTAACTCCCCTACACTGTTTTTAACTGACAAATCCATTTGTTCCCTAGGCTTTCTTAACTTGTTTAACTCCAAATTTTTTTTCTTATTTTCATTAAAATTTCTTGACAGTGCCTCTCCCACTCTATCATCTGTTCTTCTTTTGCACTCTCTTCACCTTTCTTTTATTCTCCATATATTCTACTCTTCTTATAACACTTCTGCTTTGTAAAAACCTCTCATAAGTTAACTTTTTCTCTTTTATCACACCCTTTACTTCATCATTCCACCAATCACTCCTCTTTCCTCCTACATCCACCCTCCTATAACCACAAACTTCTGCCCCACATTCTAATACTGCATTTTTAAAACTATTCCAACCCTCTTCAACCCCCTCACTACTCATACTTGCACCAACCCACCTTTCTGCAAATAGTTGCATGTAAAAAAAAATTTCTATGAAATAATTCAAGAATGTTTTTTTCTGATCAGCTTCAAACCTTAAACACAAGTGTCATTTTTAATTGGAGAATTTTTTGCTTTGCTTTAGTTACTTGTTTAAGTTTACAGGAAGGAGGGTTGAGCTATAGCTCTTGGTTCTGCTTCTTTTAAGCAACTTACATGACTGAGCCTTGTCATATCTTATTTTTAAACCCCTGTATGGAGTCACATTCCACTGTTATTATTCTGCTCATTACACTTCTGTACAACTTATAAATTGAAGAAATGTTTCCTGATATTCCTGTGGGTAGGCACTTAACAGTTATTTCACTTATTATGGTTGCATCCTTTGTAAATGGTATGTTTCCCCAACTGATTTCAGGTGAAGATGATTATGACTGGGTGAAAAACTATGCATTTGATCCTCCCTATTAAATTGAGTATAGCCATGATTTTTTAAAAAACAAACTAATCTCAACAGCAAGTTAACCGTGGAGATCCCTACCCAGCTGAAGTGGGGGCCACAGTACAGTTGGTGATGAATGAATTGAGCTTCTCTAATCCCTATCGTTTGGTTTGGCAAAGTAAAGTGGGTCCACAGCCGTGGCTGGCACCTGCGACTAATGATTCAATTAAAGGTAAGTGAGCTTTCTCTCTGTGTGAAAATAAAGACACAATTTTGCAACAGACTAATTGAGCTGCATTTGAATATCCCATTAATGTTTTGTTTATTTGTATTTTAAGAATTATAAGTAAATGAAGTCATGAATAAACATTGTTGCTGCTGCTGCTTCTGTACTGTGTGCTTTTCCATGCTTTTTTGGTTCTGGTTCTAGCTTTTATATGTTGCTAATGGACCTGGCCTTTCTTATCTATCCCCTTGTTGGAAGGTAAATATCTTGTGTTGCTTATTTACACTTCTGATAATATCTTGGGTGAACTGTCACTTGCACACTGCCACTGCTGATGAAGCTACTACTGTACTATTTCTGCTGGCTTTTATATATTTCTGTATAGAGTAAAGTAGAGGTTTTAATTATAATTAGACCCATCTAGGGAGGTGCCTTGATACTGGTGAAAGGCTCTTCATCCAAGGAAATGAGCTTATCCTCCCCTCCTTTGAAAAAAGTTTAAATGTTAATTGGGTTTAAAGCCTATTGACTATACAAGGGTCGTTAATGTTGCATGTTACCTGTTCGCCACCAGTCAAGAATACTTTAGTACCTAAAATGATAAACTCTTTCACTGTTTCTCACGTACATCTATGTCATTGATGCCAGGGTCACATAGATCTACGTTTTAAGCACAGCACCCTTAAATATACTGAGCAGTAAATTTTGGCCTAAGCGTGAGAGAATGGGTCTCGGCAGTGAGTATGCACAGTATCAAAAAACTCCTGTCCAGGCGGTGCATGATGGGAAAAGCAAACGGCCGACTGTGTTTGGTTTAAAAGAGCGACTCTGATGTCTTTTCTAGATGGTTTTTATGGTTTTATTGGCTGTTTCTTGGTATCATTTGATAGTATGAAAGACAAGTGAAATAGATAATTTTGGTTGACTTAGAACAGGAACTAATTAGTAGTAAGATGACTAATGCTTCATATTTGATACTTTTACCATGGAGTCCAGTTTACTGAATTACATGTTGTTAATTTCTGAGAGACAGATTTAGAAAAAGTTATTTTATTTCCCCTGATTATTATTATAATCAAAACTAAACACTAAACCCACCAGTCATACAGCACTGCTGTTTCCCTTTGAGAGCATCGTATGTCATCATTACATTCTTGGTAGGGAGGAGGGAGTGCTAAACCCATAAGCATCATAAGCACCTGGGGAAATGGTAGGCAATCAAGTTTGATCCAGGGAAAGAAAGAACCTGTCTAATTCCTTGAATCAAGAGACTCTCTGGCCTCAAGGTATCTCACTGAATACAGTGTAACTGTTACTGGTTTAACTCCTTCAAGAGGTATGGGGTGGTGGGGGTGCCTTGATGCTGGTGCAGGGCTCTTGATACAAGGTGTTGTAGCTAGTCTCTCCTCACTTGAACCAAGTCTGATTACTCTCCCTCCGTCTCAATGTATTTTCTTAATCAGCATAAAACATTCCCTCCCTCTCTACCCCCAGAGGGATTCTGAGTAGGTACAGAAGTCTGCTCACTCTTTGTTAAAATAACTTTTTCTCTAAAAATGAAAAACTGGTGTGATGGAACTATTTTTTTGTTCAGTTACCTCCTACAAACCTGAGGAAAAAAACTAACGTGCTCTCACACATGGGTTTAGTTCTTTCCAGGAATTAAGATAATTATCAGTTTAATGCTTGTTCAACTGCAGGTTTGGTGCAGCGAGGAAGAAAAAACATCATCTTGGTTCCCATAGCCTTTACCAGTGACCACATTGAGACACTTCACGAGCTTGATATTGAGTATGCGAAGGATATCGGGAAAGAGGTATGTTTTGCTCTTTGGTAATATTTGAACTTTGTATTGAATTGTAATAATTATTGAATGAACTATTATATTAAAATAACATGTACTAAACCCAAATGGGTCATATAGTACTGCATGGGGGATGTGCAAGTGTAAGGTTTAGTACAGGTTGGAGTTAGGTTTAAATTCAAGTAAAAGTTGGTGCAATAGGTTAGCATCTCTCAAAAATCTGAGTTATCTGCATTGAAGGTGGAAGCCCTGGCTCAGAGTGAATAAGGGAACTGTATTATTATTATTATTATAATCAAGGGGGAAGCGCTAAACCCGGAGGGTTATACAGCGCCTGGGGGGGGGGGGGATGTGGAAGGCATTCAGGCTTAATTCGGGGAACTGGAGCACAGATCCAATTCCCTAAATCAAGAGCCCCTCACCAACATCAAGGAACCTTCCTTGAGGGGAAGGGAACTGTAGATGTCAGAAATAAATCTTTCATGCTCAAAGGTGCATACGACATTTTATTATTACATGTATATGATAAACTTTTTAAGCTATACTGCAGTCCACACAGAGGTGCACCAGGCATCTTTCCATGTGGTATGTGTGCGAGTCATGTGTGGCCAGTTCATCAACATATGAGAGCAGTTTATCACTGATAGGAAGATGCCATAAGCTTAATTGCAGTTTGGTGGACCACATTTGTTGTCCTCTAACTCAGATTAATACTATTACCATTAGTTTCAGTCTCTGTAACAGTACTGTAAAATAGTTGGGAAAAGGGAGATTAGCAACAAATGTTGGATAACAATGAATATAGCATATAACTGAAAAAGTGCTAGCAGAGTATTAGCCCTTTCCCTGTCTCTTACAGAGATGATCTATTGATGCCAACATCTCTTGTAGATCTATTGTTTAAGCACAGCTCCTTCAAATATGGTGTGACTGGTAAATTTTGGCCTAGACGTGAGAGAATAGGTCTGTCCTGAGTGTGTGCACATTATAAAAAGAAAATCCTGCCCCATGCCATGCATGATAGAAAAAGCAAACCTCTGACCTTGTGATTGGTTTAACATAGTGACTTTGAGGTCCTTTCTAGAATGGTTTTATTGGCTTTCTTCATATCAATTGATAATATGGAAGACCTACAACTGAAATATACATGATTTTTGGTCAGTTTCAGGACTGCAAGTAGATTGAAATAGAGCTCAAAGTAGGAGTAATATTCAATTTTTATGATTTTCCTGAAAAAGGATAAGGACCCCCTACCTCTCCCTGGTCTACTTATGGGTTTTTATTAGGTCTGTTTTAATTTTGTGGATGTCCTAAAATCATGGCCAACCATTTCTGGCTATATTTTACCATCCGAGAAATAGAGTAAAACTTAGATTTTTTGTGATGATGGATTCAAAATGGAGGACAAGTGTAATAAAGAAGAGGCCTGGGAATATGATTAATGAACAGAGGACAAGCTGCTTTAGTGGCTGGAATGCATACAGTGTTTATTTTGGACTATTTTTAAATTGGAATTTATTGAATTTTGAGTAAAATTGGCCATATTACTGACTTCTCTGCACTTTATAGGGTAGTTCTGATAGTTGAATAGGTGGTTTCCTGTGCTCCATCAGTAGAACAGAAGGCATACTAGTGAAACAGCTAAGAATTTAATTTGGTTGAATCAAGCAGAGAAATCGAGTTAAAATAGGACTCAAATTGGGTGAAATCACTGATGTGTAAATTGTGCACAGTCCACTAACTTTGTGCCTACATAATTCCACAAGTTTTCCTTCAAATTTCATATTTTTTCGTATCATTACCTTCAGAAAGATTCTCTACCCTTTCAGAAAAAAAAAATTCATCCCAAAAGTGAAGAAGTTAAATATCCACATTGTACTATATTCTGAAAGACAGCTGCCTTCCCTACTTCATATGAGGATTTGGAACCATTATTGTATGCCACCATAGCATGAGTACACAGCATGTTGGCCTTTGGTCATGGAAAGGAGGGAGAGCCAATCTGAATTGCTGGAACCTCCCAAAGACAGAGGGAAGAGTAAGAGATGAACATAAAAGAGGGCAAATTCAGGTATTGCCAGAGATTGGACTCAGTTGTAACATTGGGGTCAACGATTAAATGAATTTAACTTGCAGTTAAAGACAAGGGTTATGAAGGGAGATACAAAGAGCATACTGTGTACTATTCGCCCAATAGGGAAGTGGAGTAGGAACATATTTGGCAATGCAGTACATCGCCGCACACATGAAGTGGAATTTCATTGTAAGATTTGCCAGGAAGAAGATCTGGTGAATGTAAAAGAACAGAACCAGTTGTATCACATAGTCTAGGTTCTTAAAAGACAAATACATGCAGCAAGAAATTGAGTCACCAACATTTGGAGCTCAGTTTGTTTTTCCCTCTAACTTCAGTTGGTGTGGAGATGAATTAGGCTATTGGCTTACTCTGCAGTGTCGACTCTGACAATGTGCAGTCAATTTTGTAAAGGATGGAAGCAGATGACCTAGTCAACATGGTTCACTAGTTCTTGTGCAGTATGTGGTCGTTCAGATATTCATTGGTATTTGCTGATTTCGTTGAAAAAATTGTGTCAATTGGAATGTTTGGAATAGTTCAGTTAATGCGTTAGGTTTCCAGGTTGTTTTTATGAGATAAGGGTTTGTATGCTACATCAGATTTGTCACTTATCTGTCATGGTTGTTGTCAGATGGATTTCAGCTACTCTACTCATTGGTATGTGGATGATTCATGAATTGTTGTGGGTGAGGCTGGTTTCATTGTCAAGGTCATGTGGGGGTCAGAGGAAACCAGAGGGGGCATGTAGTATACCAGTACCAGGTTTGGATAACAGCTAATTCCTGGTTCTAAGAAGGGTCCATAAGGTTAGACACTTGGGATCCAGGAGTGAGGCTATTTCATTTATAAGATGGAAAACATTGTCGGTTACAAAAACAAAAGAAACCAAGTACCCACCCCATTACCATGACAGGTAATGCTGTTGTTCCTTGGACAGCACCTCCAGAGTTGACTGAGCTTGATTTTGAAAAACAGCCTTATTAAACCACTGCACTAACTGTGCAATTGTCTTTCAGCCAATAATAGCAATGGACAAACTGGACCAAAAGCCAGGAGTGATGCACCATCAAATGCATCTTCTACAGTTGTATGCAATATCTGACAATGCTTCAATCATAAGAAGCCCTGGCAAATGTCCTTTCCTCCCTCTCACCAGAAGGTCCAATTTCCACCAGGTGGAGGGACATGACCACCACAGCACTACCTCTACAAGCTATGATGGAACATGGATGATAGTGGTCCTGTTTACCCTGTCTAGGAGTTGGATTTCATAAGAGAGATTATTATTATTATTAATATGGGGAGTGTTAAACCCATAGGATTATACAGTGCATATGGGGGGGAATAGAAGGTATTCATGCTCAATTCAGGGAAACTGAGCACAGATCCAATTCCCTAGATCAAGAGCCCCTCACCAGCCTGTGTTCTGAGGTAAAATTCCTCAGAACACAGGCTTCCTTGAAGGAGATATTAATGGGGAAAGCACTAAACATATAAGGTCATAGTGCCTGGGAAAAGGGGAAGTAATTATATTACATTAAATAAATTTTTGTGTATTGACATTGTAATTTTTCTGACATCATTAGCACTCACACACTTTGTAAGAATGTAATCTTTGTGTCACTGCTTTGGTAGAAAATAGCTAGCTTGTAATTTTATATTTTCAACAGGTTGGAGCAGAGTGTATTCGTCGCTGCGCATCTCCTAATGATCATCCACTGTTTATCGATGCTTTGGTAGATGTTGTCAGCAATCACTTGAAAATGGGGCATCGTTGCTCAGAACAGTTTCTCACTAATTGTCCCATGTGTGTTAATAAATCATGTTTTGCCTCAAAGAAATGGTTCAGATATGCTACTAAGAAGTTTTAGATGCAATATTTTGGGAAGGTTCAGCTATTATATATTTTCTTTGTTTTTATTATTTTTTTTATTACAGGTAGAGACCTAAATGCAAGTAGGTATTTGGTTAATCGTTTTCTTAAATACTGTATAGTTCAGACATAAGTGGTTTCTCTTCACTCATTTTTCAGCTTTATTGGTGCATTATAGGAAGTGTTCAACCTGTAAGGGTTATAATCATGCCTGGGGAACAGGTGATATTGTTAGATCAAACCACGCTAACTAGTTCCTTTAATCAAAAAATTTTTGTGAGCACCTGGGTACCTTCCCCAGAAGCAAATAAATGGAACCGACTTTGCTTAGAATCTGTTCTATCACATCTAACACCATCACTCAGAAAGTAGGGTCATTCCTAATTTCTGACATACTACCCAAACTTATTCTCACCATAAACAACACTTCTATGCACAAACTACATGGAAAAGTAATCAAGCCTAGCTACTGACTCGCCAGATTTTCAACTTGGCTGAACACATTATTGCAGGTACTGTCACTTGCCCAACTACACTACACAAATGCCTCTTCAGTTCTCACAGATGGGTAAAATCTCTTACTGTGTCTTATTAATGTAATGTCATTGATATACATTGTATCTGGTATGTTATAGATGCAATCTACTAATTTTGCTACACAGCACAATTCAGTGATAGCATCATCAATACAATGGACTTAGTCCACATTGCATTGCCATGGATTTTTGTTTAAGCAGACACCCCCTTCCTTCCCTATAAGTTAGTTACACCAAGGTTTCACTAATTATTTTTATCATCTCATATTTGTATCTTATGAGGGGGGAGCAGTAAACCTGTAGGGATTATACAGTGCCTGTGGAGGGATGGAAGGTATTCAGGCTTAATTCAGGGAAGTGAAGAACAGATCCAATTCCCTACATCAAGAGCCCATCACCAGCATCAAGGAACCTCCCTGGAAGGGCTATATTTGCACAAATAATAAATTCAATCATTTGAATAATTAAACCTGAAACTAAGGCATCTAAAGCTATGAAAAAATCATAGTATATGTAAAAATTTATTTCCTTATATATAAATCATACAACTTGACAAGTAACATTATTCAACAAAATAAATCTGACTACACAGTATTTTGTTTCATTAATTGAAACATAGCTCTGTTCATATACAAAATTTCAATTTCATTACCAGCTAATAATAATAATAATAAAGCCAGCAAGATATTTTAACACAAGGAACAAGTATACATGGTTCCCTTTCATTGAGAAATATTTGGCCTATAATATTTTGACCTTGAAAATATATATATATATATATATCTATACATATAAAGATTTCACATTAAGTTAATAATAATACAGGTCCACATCCCTTTATTCAAAATTCTGAAACTAAAAGTTCTGAACATATAAGTTTTTTCTTGGAGTGTGGAGCGTCAGTCACCTCTACCTAACTCCAACGCCGCCACGTGGCGGCGTGACTCAGCACTGACTGCTAGGTGTCATTTGTGTCTCAGCGCTTGTGGTGTTCACACATGTATCTGCTGTTCGCTGATATTTTGTTTTTGCTTCTTATTTTATGCAGTTGTTAATGCTTGGAAAGATGTTGATAAATCAACATTAACAAATGAAGGCACAGACTTTGGCCTAAAACAATGTTTGATGTAAATGAACCTACAGATGAAGACTGAGGGATTTCGTGCCATTGATGAGATTATGATATCAAACCTCGTAACTTATGTTAAAAGTTTATTGGATGAAAGTATAAACAAGTTACAGGAAGCTGACATCGAAGAAATGCTGAACATTGACAATGTTGCACCTGTTGTGCATTCCTTGAGTGATGGTGAAATTGGTGAAATGATGTTAAATACAAATAAGGATGAGAATAGTAGTGATGATGATGACAGTGTCAACACAGGTGAAAGTCCCCATAGACGACATGGTGAAAATGTGTGATCAGTTAATTGCTGGCCTTGAACATTTTTTTTTTATTATCACACTGGCCGATTCCCACCAAGGCAGGGTGGCCCGAAAAAGAAAAACTTTCACCATAATTCACTCCATCACTGTCTTGCCAGAAGGGTGCTTTGCACTACAGTTTTTAAACTGCAACATTAACACCCCTCCTTCAGAGTGCAGGCACTGTACTTCCCTTCTCCAGGACTCAAGTCAGGCCTGCCGGTTTCCCTGAACCCCTTCATAAATGTTACTTTGCTCACACTCCAACAGCACGTCAAGTATTAGAAACCATTTGTCTCCATTCACTCCTATCAAACACGCTCACGCACGCCTGCTGGAAGTCCAAGCCTTGAACAATGTGCATTTATCATTGAGCAAGAGATTATGGCAATTTACTCAGAGATTGCTTAAACAGAAACCAATGTTAATAAGACAGATGACACTTGAAGTCTTTAAAAACGCCATCTGTCAATCGTCTTGAGAATCATGTTCCTGGTCTATAATTTTTTTTTTTTTTTTTTTTTCAACAAGTCGGCCGTCTCCCACCGAGGCAGGGTGACCCAAAAAAGAAAGAAAACAATTTTCTTCTTATTCTTTTTAGTAATCTTTACAGGAAAAGGGGTTACTAGCCCATTGTTCCCGGCATTTTAGTTGACTTTTACAACACGCATGGCTTACGGAGGAAAGATTCTTATTCCACTTCCCCATGGATATAAAAGGAAAAGTAATAAGACCAAGAACTATTAAGATAAAATCAAAGAAAACTCAGATGAGTGTGTATAAATAAATGTGTACATGTATGTGTAGTGTGACCTAAGTGTAAGTATAAGTAGCAAGACATGCCTGTAATCTTGCATATTTATGAGACAGACAAAAGACATCAGCAATCCTACCATCATGTAAAACAATCACAGGCTTTCGTTTTACACTCACTTGGCAGGACGGTAGTACCTCCCTGGATGGTTGCTGTCTACCAACCTACTACCTACCTGGTCTATAATTATCCTATTATTTCATTTATCAATATTTTTTTTTTTTTTTTTTCAACAAGTCGGTCGTCTCCCACCGAGGCACGGTGACCCAAAAAAAGAAAGAAAATCCCCAAAAAGAAAATACTTTCATCATCATTCAACACTTTCACCACACTCACACATTATCACTGCTTTTGCAGAGGTGCTCAGAATATAACAGTTTAGAAGCATATACGTATAGAGATACACAACATATCCCTCCAAACTGCCAATATCCCAAACCCCTCCTTTAAAGTGCAGGCATTGTACTTCCCATTTCCAGGACTCAAGTCCGACTATATGAAAATAACCGGTTTCCCTGAATCCCTTCACTAAATATTACCCTGCTCACACTCCAACAGATCGTCAGGTCCCAAGTATCATTCGTCTCCATTCACTCCTATCTAACACGCTCATGCACACTTGCTGGAAGTCCAAGCCCCTCACCCACAAAACCTTCTTTACCCCCTCTTTCCAACCCTTTCAAGGACGACCCCTACCCCTCTTTCCTTCCCCTATAGATTTATATGCTTTCCATGTCATTCTACTTTGATCCATTCTCTCTAAATGACCAAACCACCTCAACAACCCCTCTTCTGCCCTCTGACTAATGCTTTTATTAACTCCACACCTTCTCCTAATTTCCACACTCCGAATTTTCTGCATAATATTTACACCACACATTGCCCTTAGACAGGACATCTCCACTGCCTCCAACCGTCTCCTCGCTGCTGCATTTACCACCCAAGCTTCACATCCATATAAGAGTGTTGGTACTACTATACTTTCATACATTCCCTTCTTTGCCTCCATAGATAACGTTTTTTGACTCCACATATACCTCAACGCACCACTCACCTTTTTTCCCTCATCAATTCTATGATTAACCTCATCCTTCATAAATCCATCCGCCGACACGTCAACTCCCAAGTATCTGAAAACATTCACTTCTTCCATACTCCTCCTCCCTAATTTGATATCCAATTTTTCTTTATCTAAATCATTTGATACCCTCATCACCTTACTCTTTTCTATGTTCACTTTCAACTTTCTACCTTTACACACATTCTCAAACTCATCCACTAACCTTTGCAATTTTTCTTTAGAATATCCCATAAGCACAGTATCATCAGCAAAAAGTAACTGTGTCAATTCCCATTTTGAATTTGATTCCCCATAATTTAATCCTACCCCTCTCCCGAACACCCTAGCATTTACTTCTTTTACAAACCCCATCTATAAATATATTAAACAACCATGGTGACATTACACATCCCTGTCTAAGACCTACTTTTACCGGGAAGTATTCTCCCTCTCTTCTACACACCCTAACCTGAGCCTCACTATCCTCATAAAAGCTCTTTACAGCATTTAGTAACTTACCACCTATTCCATATACTTGCAACATCTGCCACATTGCTCCTCTATCCACTCTATCATATGCCTTTTCTAAATCCATAAATGCAATAAAAACTTCCCTACCTTTATCTAAATACTATTCACATATATGCTTCAATGTAAACACTTGATCTACACATCCCCTACCCACTGAAACCTCCTTGCTCATCCGCAATTCTACATTCTGTCTTACCTCTAATTCTTTCAATTATAACCCTAACCGTATACTTTTCCTGGTATACTCAGTAAACTTATTCCTCTATAATTTTTACAATCTCTTTTGTCCCCTTTCCCTTTATATAAAGGGACTATACATGCTCTCCGCCAATCCCTAGGTACCTTCCCCTCTTTCATACATTTATTAAACAAAAGTACCAACCACTCCAACACTATATCCCCCCCTGCTTTTAACATTTCTGTCATGATCCCATCAGTTCCAGCTGCTTTACCCCCTTTCATTCTACGTAATGCCTCACGTAACTCCACCACACTTACATTCTGCTCTTCTTCACTCCTAAAAGATGGTATACCTCCCTGGCCAGTGCATGAAATTACCGCCTCCCTTTCTTCCTTAACATTTAAAAGTTCCTCAAAATATTCTCGCCATCTACCTAATACCTCCCTCTCCCCATCTACTAACTCCGCTACTCTGTTTTTAACTGACAAATCCATACTTTCCCTAGGCTTTCTTAACTTGTTTAACTCACTCCAAAATTTTTTCTTATTTTCATTAAAATTTCTTGACAGTGCCTCTCCCACTCTTTCATCTGCTCTCCTTTTGCACTCTCTCACCACTCTCTTCACCTTTCTTTTACTCTCCATATACTCTGCTCTTCTTATAACACTTCTGCTTTGTAAAAACCTCTCGTAAGCTACCTTTTTCTCTTTTATCACACCCTTTACTTCATCATTCCACCAATCACTCCTCTTTCCTCCTGCCCCCACCCTCCTATAACCACAAACTTCTGCCCCACCTTCTAATACTGCATTTTTAAAACTATTCCAACCCTCTTCAACCCCCCCACTACTCATCTTTGCACTAGCCCACCTTTCTGCCAATAGTCGCTTATATCTCACCCGAACTTCCTCCTCCCTTAGTTTATACACTTTCACCTCCCTCTTACTTGTTGTTGCCACCTTCCTCTTTGCCCATCTACCTCTTACTCTAACTGTAGCTACAACTAAATAATGATCCGATATATCAGTTGCCCCTCTATAAACATGTACATCCTGGAGCCTACCCATCAACCTTTTATCCACCAATACATAATCTAACAAACTACTTTCATTACGTGCTACATCATACCTTGTATATTTATTTATCCTCTTTTTCATAAAATATGTATTACTTATTACCAAATTTCTTTCTACACATAGCTCAATTAAAGGCTCCCCATTTACATTTACCCCTGGCACCCCAAAATTACCTACTACTCCCTCCATAACATTTTTACCCACTTTAGCATTGAAATCCCCAACCACCATTACTCTCACACTTGATTCAAAACTCCCCACGCATTCACTCAACATTTCCCAGAATCTCTCTCTCTCCTCTACACTTCTCTCTTCTCCAGGTGCATACACGCTTACTATAACCCACTTTTCACATCCAATCTTTATTTTACTCCACATAATCCTTGAATTTATACATTTGTAGTCCCTCTTTTCCTGCCATAGCTTATCCTTCAACATTATTGCTACTCCTTCTTTAGCTCTAACTCTATTTGAAACCCCTGACCTAATCCCATTTATTCCTCTCCATTGAAACTCTCCCACCCCCTTCAGCTTTGTTTCACTTAAAGCCAGGACATCCAGTTTCTTCTCATTCATAACATATATTATTCTATAAATAAACCACAGTACTATTTGTAGTCTATTTATCCCACTTAGTTTGAGTATTCATACGTTTTTGCTGCAGTGTTAATATTTGATTATGGGGTGCTGCCCTAGACCCCACCTTCATTCTGAAATTCAAAAATTTCTGAAATTTGATAAAGGAATGTGGACCTGTACATACAAGGATTAGCACTCAAACTTACAACACACCCAATGAACTCTTCAAGTCTTGAATAAGTTCTTTTGTAGTCTTTGTGTATTCCCTGAAATTAAAATAGAATACATCACACTGATTAAGTATTTTAAATATACCTATACATTTAAATGGGAATAAAAGCATCAGACGTTGGGTACAATGGGTGAGAAATATTTTATGTCTATACTGTACTGTAGTATCTATGATTGAATTATCAATACACTGTCTAGTTCCCTCAACTTCTATCTTAAATGATGCTTAAATGGTCTACACCTGCATTTAAATAAGAAGAAAATCTATAATAAATTTGTTTAAATATACTTAAAAGATTCCTATGCTGTATTTTATATTTTGCTCTATGTATTCTGCATTAGTCAAACGAAAATTTCTTACCCAAAGAATCCACCCTCCTCATCATCTATGCTTGCAGGTAAGATAATTCTAGACATGATGCTGTCAGCAGCAACCACTGCTTGCTTCAGGCTATACCGAGAAATTTTTCCACTATCTTTTGCTAGGATCATTAGCAAATATGATGTAGCAAGCAGTGATGTGATATCCTGTAGATAAACAATATATTTTATTAACTTTTTTTTTTTCAACACATCAGCCATTTCCCACTAAGGCAGGGTGACCCAAGAAATAAAAAACACTTTTCACCAAAATTCAATACTTTCACCACCATTCACACGTAATCATGTCTTTGCATAGGCGCTGAAATACGACAGTTTAGATGTCACTCCAAACAGCCAATTTCCCAAACCCCTCCTTTAACGTGCAGGCATTGTACTTCTCACCTCCAGGACTCAAGTCTGGCTAACCGGTTTCCCTGAATCCCTTCACAAAATATTACCCTGCTCACACTCCAATAGCTTGTCAGGTCCCCAAAACTATTTGTCTTCACTCACTCCTAACACACACACACACACATGCCTGCTGCATGTGCAAGCCCCTTACACACAAAACCTCTTTTACCCCCCCCCCCCACACACACACACAAAAAAATATGGTATAGTACTTAAGTAATTTTTATCGATTGCTATACTTCGAAGACTTTTTTTTATCATGTAAAATTGAATGCTGCTGACAAATTAAATTTTTTAACTGGGCAAATCTAAGCTGAGACACTAATAAACTACATTATCTGATTGGCAAAAATCCTTCCCTTCAAATTACACATGAATAGCTAGTTACGAAATATGTGCAAGCAACCCCTCATTACTGAATCTAAAGCATACTAAAGAATTAAGCAATTGACATCAAATAAAGATTAAGAGCCAGACTATACTATCTTAATACTGTATACAAAATTCAAGCCCTACACTTGACAACTTACATGGATGGCAGTTTTTACAAGATGAGTAAGCGAGTCCAACAGTGCAGTGGCAAGTTTTGTTCGACTTTGACAAACACCAACCAGCAGAGCTACACATCCATTAGCATCTTGAATCTTTGTCACTTCTAAGTCTATACCTTTGGTCTAGCAGATAAAAGATTATTATTTTCAACACAATAATACAAATTATATTTGTAGCCTATTACTGTACCATTTATAAACATTACTAAATATTTTGTTACCTGTTACTGTTTGAAAAGCTCAAAGAAAATATAATCTCTTCTTGTTTTAGATGTAAATATTTTTATTTAAAAGAATATTAAAAAATAAGAAACCTTAATTAAATCCCACAATATCTAGTTTAAAAAAAATTGCTACCATTATTAGGAAACTTTTTTTTATCTCAATTTTCACAGTGATGAAATATTACCTTACCTTATCCACACTCCAACAAATATGCTGCACAACAGTATCAGCCATATGAACCATCACCTCAGATTGATCCTGTCTAGAATTCTGGCCCAGGGTGGTAAGCACGAGAATTAGTGTATCGTGCAGACCATCAGCATCCTACACGGGAAAAACACTACACTAATAAATACATGAATATATAAGCAGTGAGACAAGCTATAAAATAGTGGTAATTTTTTTTTAAGCTTATATGCAAGATACTAAAGTTCATTGCAAATGGTGATAAGTTCTTTTATTTCATAAAGAGCTACATTGTTGTTAGCTTGAAGGGAGAAGAAACTTTCAGCTATAGTATTTTGGGAACCTTAGAACTAACACTGGGGCCCTCCAGCCTATAGCTATTCTGTTTTGACCCAAATGTTATTTTAATATTTCAAGTAGCTATTATGAAGGAATATTAAATACAAATTCATTTTGTAATATGTCCACAACTTTCAAAAAATTATTTTGATATAACAATGACAGTCAAAAATGAAATACAAGTGAAAAAATAGGAAAACAGAGGATATAGGGTGTTCTGACTTGAATAATGGAATGATCAAGTATGTATGTGCAAAGAGTTCCAATCTACAGTTACAAGTGTTGTTACCTCAATGCAAAATAGAGTAAAACTTAAATCACTTGGGAAGTATTATTAACACAAGGTGAAAGCTATATGGAGTCAAAGAAACCTCTGAGAAGACAATTAGAAGAGCAAAGCTAATACTGCTATGAAAAAATGTCAGAGAATGGTGAAGATACCTTACAGTTCTCCAGTGGTAACAAGGTGGAGGGGCACATACACAACAGGCAAATGAGCTAGTGGAAAGGATGTTACATAAGACATTGCTAAGAGAATAACTGCTAATTATATAGTGGAAGAATTTTTGCAGGACATAACAGTAAACCCCTCCATGGGAAAGGGGAACAGAATTCTTCTGTAAGCCGTGTGTCGTAAGACTAAAATGCCAGGAGCAAGGAGCTAGTAACCCCTTCTCCTGTATACATTACTAAAGTTAAAGAGAAACTTTTGTTTTTCTTTTTGGGCCACCTTGCCTCGGTGGGATACTGCCGGTTTGTTGAAAGAAAGAACAGTAAACCCATTAATGGTAAGTTTCACCTAAAATATCAGATTAGTTCTTGGTTGGTAGTACATTAATTCATAGCAAACTGCTATGAATGCAAACTATGATAGCAAACTGCCTTATATAGTTTTTTCTTTTTGCAACTAGCCTCATAAAATAAGCCACTTATATTTACCTAACCAAATCTGACATCCATTAAATTGCCTTGACACAATGAAAATGCTAAGAACATGCAAAAATTCCTAATCATACAATGTTCCCCAATGTACAAGATGCTCTTAACAATGGTTTAACACACACCTTAGGAAAAGTCTCATGCTCTTTAAAGTAATCTGATATTGATGATATACATGTATTTATTACATGGACAGGAGTGGAATCATTTTCGTAATTCTCATTGGAGCAGACGTAAGATTCCAGATACTGGTGTGCTTCCGATGCCAAAACTAAACTCTTCTCCCAGAAGCTTCCTGAGGCATCTGAAAAACAGTAATAGTTTAGCATTCCAGCTTTGTTGTAACTTTTAAGTAAAACAGAAAATTAGGAAATAACAAAAACTGTAATGATTATTCACATAAGGAGTGCATTCAGACATTTGATGTAAAAAACAAGGGGTAATTTTATCAACAAATACTCTTAATAAAAAATGTGCTAACAAAGTCCACATGCAAGATTCATTCTCTTTGGAAAGTAAAACAAGGCAGACATTATCTTCTGTTACTATTAGTCATGAGAGATTTGTATTTGGAAATAGGCTGTGCAATTTGTGTACTTGGTTCATTTTCTCATATCTGAAAGAGTTAGGAAGATAACTTAAAAGATACAAAAATCCAAGAGATCAAAATCTAACTTTGTATAGCAGTGAGTCACACCCTGCACAACCATAACGTAGAGTAACATTAAGCTGAGATACAAAAGTCTTCCAAATTATGTCTGAAGCCACAATACTGGAAAAAAGGTCAAAAACAGCCCTTCTGAAAGATTTTAAACATTCTTTGATGGTGTAAGATTATGATGCAATACAAATTTACCTCAAATATTTCAAATCAGTCATTTATGTATACACTCAAAAGTTATTAACATTGAGCATGTAATTATGAAATAAGGTGATGCAATGATACAAAAACAGGTATAAGGTGTATGTATTTGAAATCTGTAGGTTCTGTAAAACACGCACACACTTTTTATTATAACAGGTGTTTTCTTTAAAGATAATAAAAAGCAGATTTTAAATAATTTCATGTTTTGGCTTTTCCTTATGAGAATATCAACCACAATCTATGAACCAAATTTAACAGTAACCTTTAAAACTTTCAATGCAAACTTGGTATCCAAGTGAAATGTCTCAATAAAGGTTTCCATTCTGCCATGGTGTCTTTATCAACCTTAACGTGTGTTAACTTGATTTACTGAAGACAATGAATTATTCCACACTTTTAAAAAGCAAGTTTTTTTCTTTTTTAACAAGTCGGCCGTCTCCCACCGAGGCAGGGTGACCCAAAAAGAAAGAAAATCCCCAAAAAGAAAATACTTTCATCATCATTCAACACTTTCACCTCACTCACACAGAGGTGCTCAGAATACAGCAGTTAATATAGAAGCATATACTTATAAAGATACATAATATGTCCTTCCAAACTGCCAATATCCCAAACTCCTCCTTTGAAGTGCAGGCATTGTACTTCCCATTTCCAGGACTCAAGTCCGGCTATATAAAAATAACCAGTTTCCCTGAATTCCTTCACTAAATATTACCCTGCTCACACTCCAACAGCTCGTCATGTCCCAAATACTCTGTCTCCATTCACTCCTATCTAACACACTCACGCACGCTTGCTGGAAGTCTACGCCCCCCCCCCCTTATATCCTTCCAAAATTTAAAAAGCAATACAGGTTAGCCAGCTTTACATCATACATGTTTTTTGTGTCCATACTGCATTTTCTTTGCACTGGGGTGCACAAAACATGATCATAGGTAATCGAGCAGCATTACATTTTGCTATTGGTGATGACGACATCCAACATAGATGAAACTGGCATGTTTTCAATTAGCCTTGCAAGAGAAAATGAGCTGTCCTTGCCCTTTATACTCTTCTCATTCGGTACAACACAACTTTCTCCTCTTTTAACCCTTTGGGGGTTTTGGCCGTACTAGTATGGCTTACGCACCAGGGTTTTTGACGTACTAGTACGCATAAATTCTAGCGCCCTCAAATCTAGCAAGAGAAAGCTGGTAGGCTTACATATGAAAGAATGGGTCTATGTGGTCAGTGTGTGCAGTATAAAAAAATTATTGCAGAACACAGTGCGTAATGAGAAAAAAAAAAACTTTGACCGTGTTTTTGGATTAAAACAGCGACTTTGCACTGTATTTTCGTATGGTATTTATGGTTGTATTCTAGTTTTCTTGGTCTCATTTTATAGAATGGAAGACATATTACAGAAATTGAGATGATTTTGACTGGTTTTACAATGAAAAGTACCTTGAAATTGAGCTCAAAGTAGCAGAAATGTTCGATATTTACCAAAGTTCAAAAGTAAATAAATCATGCTAAGCGTCCAATACACGTCAACTGGCGAGTCTAATATTCTTTCACAAGTGCGCCGATATTATTTATACCATTTCTACACTGATGCAGTAGTCTACATAACAGTAAATCTTTATTTTTTGTGAGAATAAAAAATCAAAGTGGAAAGCAGAAGAAATGTAAGAGGGGCCTGGGGACATGATTAATGAACAGAGGAAATGTTGTTTTAGTGCCAGGAATGTCTTTCTTGTTTATTCTGGACCCTATTTGGAAATTGGCATCTTCTGAAATTTGTGTGAAATTGGCAAAATTGCTAAATTCTGATCGCTTTATTGGATATTTGAAATTGGTAAATGGGTGGTTGCTTGTACTCATTCGAAAGAAAAAACAGAGTTCTAGTGAAATAGTTATGATTTTTGTCGACTAGTACACTGGAATTGGCCAAAAATAGGGCTCAAAGTGGGCAAAATCACCGATGCGTAAACATTATTGAGACCGCTAACTTCGCAAGAGCATAATTTTTTTGGTGTCATTATGATCGGGAAAAGATTCTCTTTTCATGAGAATTTTTTTTTTTTTTTTTTTTTTTTAAATTTTGGCGACCCTGAGAAAAAGTCTCCGAGAGGGCCTGGCGACCCCCAAAGGGTTAACCTTTCCTCTCGTTTTCCTTTCCTTGTTAAACTTCCAATTTATAGAAATACTTTTTTCTCCACTTTTGCTACCATATATCTTTTAATAAATACAATTAGAAAAATAATAATGAGCACATGGAGCCTTACCAGACTTCAGCAAGCCATCCACAAATACACAGAGTTTGGAAGCAAAAGCAGTACTAGCAGCTCCAATCATCAGCAAATGGGTGCTAGTTGTTAAAAGTCTGTTAAGTACAGACACTGCTATGTTTAGAGCATCATCTCCAGCCCTTAGCTTCCTCTTTCCACCTCTAGTCTCTTCTAAGGCTGGCACCAAGATGCTGCAAATATAGGAAAAAAAATTAGAAGCTATACCTTTCAAGAAAGAATTTTTAAGCATTAAGATTTCAATTAAAATTGATATGTTAAAAGGTAATGAAAAGAAAGATTCAGAAACTGGCAAAAAATAAAGTTTCTAAATATACTACATATCCCATGAAGGATTAACCTCATCAAACCACAGGTGAGCCAACTGAATTACAGTGCTTAATATATCAAGAAACAAGTCAATTTAAAAAAACACTGTCACTAAGAGTTTGTAGTGGTTTAATTACCTCCAAACTATACATACCACACACAAATAAAATTTGACAAACTAAAATTAAATGGTGAAAACTGTCGAGATGCAATCAAAATTAGATTATTAAAGCATATTAGATCATGGCTTTCTGTTGAAATGTAATTAAGTTGCCCAAAATGCTCTGCATAACTAGAGTTTTCCACATTTTTTTTTTAACACACTGACCATCTCCCATTGAGGCAGGGTGACCCAAAAAGAGACTTTCACCATCATTCACACTATCACTGTCTTATCAAAGGTGAGCAGATATGACAATTTAAATGTCCCTCTAAACAGCAAATATCCTAACCCCACTTGCAGGACTCAAGTCTAGCTAACCAGTTTCCCTGAATCCCTTCACAAAATATTACCCTGCTCACACTCCAACAGCTTGTCAAGTCCCAAAAAACGTTTGCCTTCACTACTAGTATATGGAGGCTGGCTCCATATATAGTTTTAAGAGCAAGAACAATAGGCCCATGAGGCTAAGTGACCAGGTACAACAGGCCCATGAGGCAAAGTGAGCAGGCCCCACAAGGCTAAATGGGAGTGAATCTGAAGATTGGCAAGTTAAGAGGCAGGGCCAGATTCTGATAATCAACACCTGAAGCCACAAACAGGCAAGCACAAATAGGTGAATAATTATCTTCACCACTATCTTCCCTCACACATAAGCACTTACCATAACATGAATGAGTTTTCAGCTTATATTGTCTCAATGTGATGGAAGACAAGACTGAGAAAAAGGGAGTCTAACTACTGCCCACCCCTGTATGTCTGCCACCCCATTCCAACCACACCACACTCAACCACAGCAGTGGTTGATAATGTTCAATCCTGAGGAAAATGCCATGTAAAATAAAGGCTTTGCTCTACATCATTATTAAACCATCTGTCAGTTTAATTTCCAAGTCATTACGTAATACTGGCGAGTAGCATTGTAAAACTATATAAAAACTATTTCAATTACTATATAGTGAAAAACTGCTACAAAACATTTCTTACTTGTTTGCCCAATCTAAGCTGAGTGATACATTCTCTGAACTATCAAACAGAAGATCCTCTGGATTTTCCCCATCATCGTCTTGTTCTTCAGAGTTGTTGCATTCTTGTACTTCTACAGAAGGATTGTGGAGCACAGCTACCAAGCTCAGGTACTGGGCCCAACACTCACACAAGAAAGCATCTGAGCACAGTGGTGACAGCTCTTCTGTGCGATCCAATCGCTCACTAATTCTATCCTAAAATCAATTTTTATAGCTTAGGGACAATACTTTGGTGGGAAAAAACTTAGTGAAGTTCAAGAAAATGTAAAACGAACTTGCAAATTTTCATCTGTATATTAAGCAATAACTAGTGTTAATTTTATGCAAACATGCTTACTGCAGAAAGAATTAGAAATAATCACTACCATCAACCTATCCCCTGAAGCAGACTCTCCACATATGCAAAAACCAACTGAAAAATGTTTAGCATCAAAGTATAACCCTTACCTAGCCATCTACAAACAAAACTCTTAAAAAGTTCAAAACACAAAATTGCATTCCAACTTGTGCAGGACTGATGGGAATGAGATCCCACCAACAATAAAAAAAAAAGTTTACAAAAACCAAAGCCAACAGTATGGTAGAACTTTGTAATAAAAAAAAATGCATTTTAAAAAAAGTATTACTTTAACTTTCTCCATATTTTTGGTTATCTCCAAAAGTGAACTTCTATTCCGTTCCATTGCTGAAAGCTTGTTGAAGGGATGCTGCAGGATGTTCCGTAACAAACGCAATGCAATAACAGGCTGTGGTGTACTGGTCTCGCAAAAACGCACTTTGCGACCACTACGACGACGCTCCTATAAAAGAAAATAATCCTTAAGCAGAATGATTATACATGTATTATCCATAATGCACAATATTTTGAAACTCTGGTGACAAAATGAAATGTTCTCAAAATTTTCAAGATACCTACATATAGTCTTTCTATATAAAGAGTATTTCATGTCTTATCTCTGGTATTCTCTACTTCAGAAAGGCTGCTCATATGAAGAATTTTTCCAAAACATTTAGAAAATCTTTGTGTATTCCAAGGAATGTTCAGGAAATGCCTGAAATATTTATCAAACAATTCTAAATTTTATGTTGTACATTTCAATATAATTAAACAGTACAATTCTATAATACAGCCTCTCCTCACTTAGCAACATACTCATTTACCGATGCCTCGGACTTATGACAAGCTCTCTGGCCCGTATTTATACCTCAATAATGTATACAGTGGACCCTCATTTTTCATAATTAATCCGTTCCAGAGTGTGACTATTATCGAAACTGACGATTTGCGAATCTATTTTCCCCATAAGAAATAATGTAAATCCAATTAATTCATTTCAGACACCCAGAAGTATCAACAAAAAAATTTTTTTTTACCTTAAAGATAGATTTGCATGCATAAAAGAATGAACATTCAACATGACAGTTACCTTTATTGAAGGCTGTTGTTGATGAATGGAAGACAGGGAGGAGGAGAGAGGGAAGAGAGGCTAGTGTTTGGAAGGTGAATCCCCCTCCATAAAGACTCAAGGGCACTTCAGGGGGTCATTTCACTAGCCACTTCCCTAGATTAAATATAGATTTACATGCAGAAAAGAATGCCAAATAAATGTAAAGCATCTTATATGGAAGTGAAGCTTGGGTGGTAAATGCAGCAGCGAGGAGACGGTTGGAGGCAGTGGAGATGTCCTGTCTAAGGACAATGTGTGGTGTAAATATTATGCAGAAAATTAGGAGAAGGTGTGGAGTTAATAAAAGCATTAGTCAGAGAGCAGAAGAGGGGTTGTTGAGGTGGTTTGGTCATTCAGAGAGAATGGATCAAAGTAGAATGACATGGAAAGCATATAAATCTATAGGGTAAGGAAGGAGGGGTAGGGGTCGTCCTCGAAAGGGTTGGAGAGAGGGGGTAAAGGAGGTTTTGTGGGCGAGGGGCTTGGACTTCCAGCAAGCGTGCGTGAGCGTGTTAGATAGGAGTGAATGGAGACGAATGATACTTGGGACCTGACGATCTGTTGGAGTGTGAGCAGGGTAATATTTAGTGAAGGGATTCAGGGAAATCGGTTATTTTCATATAGTCGGACTTGAGTCCTGGAAATGGGAAGTACAATGCCTGCACTTTAAAGGAGGGGTTTGGGATATTGGCAGTTTGGAGGGATATGTTGTGTATCTTTATACGTATATGCTTCTAAACTGTTGTATTCTGAGCACCTCTGCAAAAACAGTGATAATGTGTGAGTGTGGTGAAAGTGTTGAATGATGATGAAAGTATTTTCTTTTTGGGGATTTTCTTTCTTTTTTGGGTCACCCTGCCTCGGTGGGAGACGGCCGACTTGTTGAAAAAAAAAATAAAAAAATAAATAAATGAACATTTAACATCACACTTACCTTTATTGAAGACTTTTGTTGGTGTATGGCAGACGGGGCAGAGGGAGGGGAGGCAAGTTTATTGTTGGAGAATATGACACTAATATCAACTCTACAGCTTATTTATCTATCACAATTCAACTAATACAACATAATAAACAATATTAATAACATAGAAACATGGAATATACTCTAGAATGAATAAAACAAATCATTTGAATGTCACAAGAGGTGTTGTGTTGGTGTTGTTGGGTGTATAAGGGCCACTGAGAGCATAAGCCGTCCATAATGTTGGTGAAGCAGCAGCTGAGGCGACGGTGTTTTCTGTAGCCCTATATAACTCAAACAACATTGGAGGAGTGAATAGAATTGCTGAATCACTGAAGGCGGCACCCTCTACCACCATCACAACCACTACCACCCTCTACCACCATCACTACCACCATTTTCGTATTTTTCTACAAACTTTTTCTTAAATGATATGCGTTTCTCACATTCTTTACCAAAGGGCTGGCACTAGAAGCTTTCTTTGGAGCCAAGGTGACTTATTGAGCAGTTGCAAGCACTAAAATGAATGGAATATTATGAAATGTATCGTATGAACTCGTGGGATCATCCTCACTCACTGATAAACAATGGCACATTGGCTGGGAATGGAGTGTGAGGCGGCTCGGGGCTGTGTGTACGCGTCCCAGACGAACGACTATTTGCGAGTCAAACAACGATTTGCGAGTCAATGCTTTGATGAAAAAACGTTACGATTTCCAAAAATTACGATTTCAAGCCTTACAAAAAATGAGGTTCCACTGTATATTAGTGCTGATTTCCTCTATTCTGTTTATTTCAATATACAGTACACTACTGTGTAAACATTTAAAAATATACGAGAAATGTTATAAATGCTGCAGAGGTGACATTAAAACAATATCAAAGATGGCTGACACAAACCCACTACCATTACAGTATGCTCCTCACTTAGCGACAAATTCGTTTAACAACATGGTCTTAGGAATGGAACTCCGTCGTTAAGTGAGGAGAGGCTGTACATTTATAATAAAAGCTCGAAACATTTTATAATAGAAAAATAGAAATATGCAGCCTAAGTGTACACCAACTATGGAAAATGTGCATTTGAAAACTAGCAAAATATAGTACCATTAATCACAAATAGTACATGATCTTTACATATGAACTGATTTTGTATTTATATTAAGCTTTTTCAAATTAAAAAATTTAACCCTTAAACTATCCGAAAGTAGATCTACATTCGATTTTACATTTTTTATGTAAAAAACGTAGATCTACGTTTGGAGTGCTACACACGCAAATTAGATCTACGTTTGGACAGAGAATATGGATTGAAGGTGTGACTAAGGATACTATTCAGGGATTAGAAAAAAGGAATACTGAGATGATTTGGTCACTTAGAAAGGATGGAACAAAGTGTATAACCTTGAGTTTCATAGGAGGAGGGAGCAAAGGAGGGAGTTTTGAGAGGTGGGGACTTAAGCATATAGCAGGTATGTGTGAGCATTTTAGATGTCAGTAGGTGGAGATAAGTGGCTTTTGAAATCTGACATGATGTTAAGTATGAGCAAGACAATTTTTATGAAAAGATTCAGGAAAAATGGTTAGCCGAACTTGGAGTCTTGAGTTGATAAGTACAGTGCCTGCACTTTAAAGTATGGGTGGAAATGTTGCAGTTTAGTGGATCATTAGAACAGATGTCAATCCTCATCTAGAGAGGCAAGGTAAGGAATGAGTGACTGTGAATGTGTTTTCACTACTTAGGTCATGCAAATTATGAAAAATGGCAACTGTGTTATAAAAATATTACTTTATTTGCTTTGCAAAAATAATGTTCTCTACACTTAAAGCATATTAAAAACTTAAAATGATCAATTTAATGTATGGTATACTGTTGATTATTTACGAACCTTAGGTATGACATTTAATCAACCCATTATATCAGAGGATACCATATTTTTGAGTAAACAAATACAGACTTGGTAATACACATAAAACCCACACATAGGAGAGAGGAGCTTACGACAACGTTTCGGTCCGACTTGGACCATTTACAAAGTCACACTAACAAAAAGGAGAGAAGGAGGGAGTATATAGGCCAGCAGACAGGGATGGGACAAGAGAGGTAGTAGGAAAGGAAGAAAAGCAGTGGTAGAGGTAGTAATAATAGTAGTAATGGAGTCAGTCAAAGACTAAGAAAGCGGAGCATGTTGTCGTGGTATTGTGCCTTTTTGTTACTTATGGACTTAATAAACTTGCAATGTTATGTATATACCAAGACCAAATTTCATTTGATGTCAAAATCTATAAAAAAAAAAAAGTCAATTCCAGATCTAACTGCCAGATTCAAATTAAGTAATTCTTCATTAAAAACTTTAAGATCTCAAGCAATTATTTTTATTTATAACTTACCTTATTACTGCCAACCATTCCAGCTTTAAAACCTTCTTCAAGCCACTCAGATGCCAACTCCAGGATATCATCCGTACGATTCCAGTTACAAAGGGCATTGATGTAAGTCACATGTGAATCATCACTTCCCTGAAAGTATTTGTTCACTTAACAGAAGTAAAAATTCTATTTTTTTTTTTTTTTTCAAAAAAAAAAAATGCTGACAAAATAAAACCTAAAATAACTGGCATTTTTTGAAACAACAGTGCTATTCTGCTGACCTGTGAGTGCAATGCTGGTGATCTGTGACTAATGTTAGTGATTTCTGCACTTTTAGCTACACTATTTGAATAAAACAATTATCTATAGATTTTTGTCAGTCAACACCACTAAGTGGAGTCTCCCAGGAGGGCAGAACAAATGTAGATAGCATATAATGAAGTGGTATTACTGTCATGGAGAAGTGCTAAAAACCATAGAAGTCATACACTAACTGGGAAATAGGAGGTAATCAGTTATGATCCAAGAGGAGAGTAACTTAAATTCTCTGGATGAAGAATTCTTCACAGGCATCAAGGAACCTCATGTTCAAGGTAGTAAGGATATTTAGAGTTGAATTTATTTAATACTGACATAACTCAGTAACTCATTTATGCAAAACGACAGGTTTATGTTGAAGTTATCCACAGAAATAACATTACTAATAGCATTGAATTTGCTGTAACTAGGATTTTGAAGGAACCATAAAGCTACAACTGTGTTAGGAACGCAGCTGTTGTATAAGCTAACCAAATTATTAAAATTGTGTAAATTTGAACACGCCTAACCTGATCTGCTTGTAGAGATCGAAGACGAGAGAGGCAGTGACCAACCAAGGTGGGTACTAGGTTTCGAGGCAAAAAGCTTGACAGGTAGAGCAGTGTCTGGGATACATCGTTGTTATCCTGGATAAAATGTAAGAAATTGCAATAATTATGGGAATAGAGGACTGAAAAAACTTAATATATAAAAAAGATCATCTAGATACAAGATATGGCAAAACTAAGAATCATAACAAGGAAAGCTTTTTATTTAATTATGATTCCTTTATTTGAGAAATCCTTCGCTTTAAAAAATCATTGCTCTCTAATACAAATTATTTAAAGCAATCATTATTCATAGTATTTACTACAAGTTTAAGAATAATAAAAAAATATGTACCTTAAAGAATTTGAAGAAGAGGGGCATGCTTTTTGATAATTTTGTTCTCAATGCCTCAAGATACTTGAGATTTTGTGGTTGTGCCAGTCTATGGGCATTGGTGGTCCAAAGAATGACAACAGTGTCTAAAAGACCACCAATAACAGCAGGATTGTCTAAAGGTGAGCCATCATCATCTTCATCTGTTAATCCAAGATAAGCTATTATTGATTGGTAGGAAAAAAAATCACATGGAAAAATATCTTATAGCCCTAATGAAAAAAAATATAAGATAATGCCACCTGGTCTCAACTTCTTTCAAACTAAACAAAAACTACATAAAATATGCATTAATAGCTAACAAAACCAATTCATTCTCTTAAGATAATGTTGCTTTCCTACTATAATTTAAGACCATAAAAAAATGCAACACTGTCATGATGTCACAACACTGGCTTTCCAGTGCAAGGATTTCAATGAGTCTTCTCTATGGTTCCCAATTTTCAGATATGTTGAAAGAACATGTTACCTTGTTCAGTATTTTTGTATTCAATTATTCTTTTACGATTGGTTAATTCTGGGTAGAATATGATAACCTAACCTAAAATGGAATAAATACAATAACTGCCTTAAAGCATTATAATAAAAGGCCAATATTCTAAGGACCAGTTGATTTATAATACGTATTCAATCATTAATTTAAATATATATGAAGAATAAAGACTGGGAATTTACACTCGTTATTCAGTTACAATTGTTTTTCCTAATTTCATGTCATTAAGAACTTTTCCTCTACCATATGGCAAGTACGGTACTTACAAAGTTTCAATTGTCATAATTACAACTACAATTAAAACATTTTTTCATATATAGTCTTACTATTAACCTTAATTATCGAATTAAATCCTTAATGGTAAATGGCTTACAGCAAGAAAATTCATTGCTGAAACAATAACTACCACCACCACATAGACCAGCATTGTATTTCCTAGTCACCGTACACATTTTCCTAGGCTACATGGAGTACTAATATTGCACTTTATTTTATTTTTTTTTTTTTTTTTTTCAACAAGTCGGCCGTCTCCCACCGAGGCAGGGTGACCCAAAGAGAAAGAAAACCCCCAAAAAGAAAATACTTTCATCATCATTCAACACTTTCACCTCACTCACACATAATCACTGTTTTTGCAGAGGTGCTCAGAATACAACAGTTTAGAAGTATCTTTCTTCTTTCAACACACCGGCCGTATCCCACCGAGGCGGGGTGGCCCAAAAGGAAAAACGAAAGTTTCTCCTTTTACATTTAATAATACATACAGGAGAAGAGGTTACTAGCCCCTTGCTCCTGGCATTTTAGTCGCCTCTTACAACATGCATGGCTTACGGAGGAAGAATTCTGTTCCACTTCCCCATGGAGGTAAGAGGAAATAAACAAGAACTAGAACTAGAAAGAAAATAGAAGAAAACCCAGATGGGTGTGTATATATATGTTTGTACAAGTATGTGTAGTGTGACCTAAGTGTAAGCAGAAGTAGCAAGACGTACCTGAAATCTTGCATGTTCATGAGACAGAAAAAAGGACACCAGCAATCCTACCATCACGTAAAACAAGTACAAGCTTTCGTTTTACACTCACTTGGCAGAATGGTAATACCTCCCTGGGCGGTTGCTGTCTACCAACCTACTACCTAGGATTCAGAAGTATATACGTATAAAAATACACAATATATCTCTCCAAACTGCCAATATCCCAAACCCCTCCTTTAGAGTGCAGGCATTGTACTTCCCATTTCCAGGACTCAAGTCCAGTTATATAAAATAACCAGTTTCCCTGAATCCCTTCACTAAATATTACCCTGCTCACACTCCAACAGATCGTCAGGTCCCAAATATCATTTGTCTCCATTCACTCCTATCTATCACGCTCATGCACGCTTGCTGGAACTCCAAACCCCTCGCCCACAACACCTCGTTTACCCCCTCCCTCCAACCTTTTCGAGGACGACCCCTACCCCGCCTTCCTTCCCCTACAGATTTATACGCTCTCCATGTCATTCTACTTTGATCCATTCTCTCTAAATGACCAAACCACCTCAACAACCCCTCTTCAGCACTCTGACTTATACTTTTATTAACTCCACACCTTCTCCTAATTTCCACACTCCAAATTTTCTGCATAATATTTACACCACACATTGCCCTTAGACAAGACATCTCCACTGCCTCCAACCGCCTCCTTGCTGCTGCATTTACAACCCAAGCTTCACACCCATATAAGAGTGTTGGTACTACTATACTTTCATACATTCCCTTCTTTGCCTCCATAGATAGCATTTTTTGTCACCACATATACCTCAATTGCACACACTGTTTACTTCATCAAGTGAATGATTAACCTATTTATAACATGGAACTTTAACGATCGGTTATGAAAATCACTTCTTGAATCCCCCTAGAATTTGATACAATTTTCTTAAAAGTGAGTGGTTTATCACCTTATCTGTGGAGACAATGAACTTTCGTCCTTGGAGGCAAAGAGGGGAATGTATGAGAGTATAGTTTTACCAACGTCTCTTATATGGGTGTGAAGCGTGGGTGATGAATGTTGCAGCGAGGAGAAGGCTGGAGGCAGTGGAGATGTCATGTCTGAGGGCCAATGTGTGGTGTGAATATAATGCAGAGAATCTGTAGTTTGGAAGTTAGGAGGAGGTGCGGATTACCAAAACTGTTGTCCCAGAGGGCTGAGGAAGGGTTGTTGAGGTGGTTCGGACATGTAGAGAGAAATGGAGCGAAACAGAATGACTTCAAGAGTGTATCAGTCTGTAGTGGAAGGAACGGCGGGGTAGGGGTCGGCCTCAGGAGGGTTGGAGGGAGGGGGGTAAAGGAGGTTTTGTGCGAGGGCTTGGACTTCAGCAGGCACTGCGCAACTGTTTACCTAGGAGTTGAGGAGACCAAATGGTTCTTTAATATTGACGTGCATGTTGATGTGACAAAGTAACTTTAAATGAAGGGACTCAGGGAAACCGTCAGCCTCGGACTTGAGTCCTGTAGATTGGAAGTCACAGTGCCTGCTCTGAAGGTGTTTAATTTGCAGTTTAAAAACTGTAGAAGCCTCAAGCTCAACCCTTTTGGCATGACAGTGACTGGAAGTGCAATGTATGAGTGAAAGTTTTCTTATTTCAGCACCCTGCTGGTGGAATCGGCCGGTCGATAATAATAAAAAAAAATATACCTCAATGCACCACTCACCTTTTTTTCTTCATCAATTCTATGATTAACCTCATCCTTCATAAATCCATCTGCCGACACGTCAACTCCCAAGTATCTGAAAACATTCACTTCTTCCATACTACTCCTCCCCAATTTGATATCCAATTTTTCTTTATCTAAATCATTTGATACCCTCATCACCTTACTCTTTTCTATGTTCACTTTCAACTTTCTACCTTTACACACATTCCCAAATTCGTCCACTAACCTTAGCAATTTTTTTTAGAATTTCCCATAAGCACAGTATCATCAGCAAAAAGTAACTGTGTCAATTCCCATTTTGTATTTAATTCCCATAATTTAATCCCACCCCTCTCCCGAACACCCTAGCATTTACTTCCTTTACAACCCCATCTATAAATATATTAAACAACCATGGTGACATTACACATCCCTGTCTAAGACCTACTTTTACCTTACTATTTTTACTTTTATTTATTCACCAATATTACCCAGTATATTAAAATGGCAATACTCATTCACCCTTCTTCCTATTCACCTACAAACTCTTACCTTTCCCAGGAATCATCGTCTTTCAAAGGTGTAGATGATCGAGTCCTCTGTGATCTAGGGGCTGCAACACATGCATGTTAGTAACCATGTATATAGCTTGCTCTCCATTCTCAAGCTAAAAAATCTCCAAGCTAATGCAATTTCAGCCCAGAGCAAATGTATATCCACTCAAAAAGCAGTTCCTAATTAAGCTCAGCCACAGAATTATCTGAGAAGAAACTGTAAAAATAAATGAGCCACAAAAATACTAAAAAAATACTAAGTGGAATGACTTTGACAGAGACTGTACAAGCAAATTCCATAAAGAGGGTTCAAGAGTAAGTATTATACAGGTATTTAGTGTTAGCTGGTTGATAGACAAAATCAAGAGCTGGAATGCTTTCCCTGCAAACTCAAATAGGTTACAAATAGGCCATTACAAATATACGTATAATTAAATAATTGGAAGTGGATATATCAGCAGATGGGTCCCATGAAAGATAAGGTTAACCACAGAATAGACAAAGGAAAAAAGGTAGGTGGTGTGCCGAGACATTTGAGGATGGACTGATCTTTATCTACAGATGCAAAAATAGGAATTTAGCAAAGTGTAGTGTTACCTACGCTTTTATATGGGTGTGAAGCATATACTTTAAATATTGAAGTGAGGAGGAGGCTGGATTCAGTGGAGATGTCCTGTTTTTGGGAAATATGCAATGTGAATAGTAAGCAGAAAAATCAAAGCATAGAAATTAGAAGACACGTGGGGTACCTAGAAGTACAATTCAAAGGACTGAGGGGTTGTCAAGGTGCTCTGGGCATTAAGAAAGGATGAAACAAATAAGATTAAGAAGGTGCAAAAAATCAGAGGTGGGAGGCAGTAGTGGTTGGGTCATCTCAGGAAAGGTTGGAGGGAGAAGGGTAATGGTGGTTTTGAATGCTCAAGGCTTGCGTGAGAGTTTAATTGGAGTGGAGGCGAGAGGTTTTCATGGCTTCACGTGCTGTTGGAGTACGAGCAAGGTAACAAACACTCATGAAAACATTTGAGGAAATCAATTAGCAGACGAAAGTACAATGCCTGCACACTGGAGAGTAGGGATGTTACATTGTATACTGTACCCCCACAAGACTGGGGCAAAAACCTGGTGCACACAGGAATAATAGGAACATACTCCAGTGAATTGAGTACCTTGGGGAAAGGAAACAGTGTGTTTGTCCAGGACATGATTACCACAGAAGACCAATTCTAAAATTCTCTGACATTTCCCCAACAAAACTGCAATCTTTCCTCGACATTATTTCACTACTCTGCAGCCTGCAATCTTCCCTCACAGCTGCCCATTCCTCCCACAGTACATCTTTACATATCTATATTACATACTGTAGAATAGGGTAGTCAGTATACAAAATGTTCATTTTTTTTTTTTTTTCAACAAGTCAGCCGTCTCCCACCGAGGCAGGGTGGCCCAAAAAAGAAAGAAAATCCCCAAAAAGAAAATACTTTCATCATCATTCAACACTTTCACCACACTCACACATTATCACTGCTTTTGCAGAGGTGCTCAGAATACAACAGTTTAGAAGCATACACGTATAAAGATACACAACATACCCCTCCAAACTGCCAATATCATATAATATAATATCATATAATTCATAAACTAAAATTTAAGCAGATATTACAATTTACATTATTATTTAAAAAATGTCACTTCATGACCATTAACATAAGTTTTGTAACAGCATTATAGTGTCAATACTTCTAGGAATTATAGATAATAATCTAAAAATATTATTTGAACAAACACTACATCAACTGCTACCAATTCAAAAGATTAGTGAAAAACTGTGATTATCTCATTGGCAGAACCTATAGCACAGTAAAAAATATTAAGAGAAAAAATACAGTTTCAAAAGAATATAAAAGCCTACCAGTACAAATGCTATGAAATCCGATCAGTTTTAATTTTCTGTAATTTCAGTCTTATTTTGAGGAGGATGAGAGATTTCTCTGCAGGTTTTCTCATCCCTTCAGCTTGGCTCCACAGAGTATTTGCCTCTGTCAATGGGATAATTTGTGCTTTTCTACTTCACTGAATTTAAAAGATTTTTCTAGCAATTGGCCACTTTATATACTGTTTCTTTGCCTCTCTTCATTGTTCTTTCTTTTCTTTCCATGTTTTTATCCTCTCCTCTTCCTCATAACCAGTCAACCTTATGCCCCAGTAAAATGGGCAGGGACGGAGATTATGTCAAGAAAAATCTTAAGAACCTTAGGTAGTCAAATAACTAACAATACATTCGGTAGTCTATTTCACATAATAATATTGGCATGGATTAGTCAGTTTCCCCAACAAATTCCAAAATTTGAAAATTCCCTATTCCAAACTCCCCAACAATTCCTTGTAAAACAAACCATTCTATCTGATTTTTTCCTCTATGTGTGGCAACCATGCAGGAAGAGTTGTCAGAATGGACAGTAACAAGCTGGGTTCTGCAAGGACTGGTACTGAGACCAATACAGCTTCCAGTTTATGTGAATGACATCCCAGATTGAATTGGATGTATCTGTTTAGTGATGATGTAAAATCAATGAGAATAAAAATAAATAAGAACAGGGAAAGGGGATCTGGTCACTGGTCAGAGAAGTTACTGCTGGAATTCAACTCTAGTAAACGTAAGGTTATGAAGATTGGGAAGGGGTCAGAAGACCAGACATGGAGTATAGACTCAGGAAATAGGCTGCAGACCTCGCTCAAGGAGAAAGACCTAGAGGAACATAGTGCCTTTCACATAACCAGAGGCTCATATCAACCAGATAACCTCTGCAGACAATGCTCATCTGGGAAATCTAGGAGAAGCCTTCAGGAACCTCAACAATGAGACATTCCTAACCCCTTTATACAATATCTGTCAGGCCCATATTGGAGGATGCAGCAAAGGCATGGAACCAATGCCTGAAGAGGCATACTGTATTAAGTAACTGAAGATGCTGGGGTATACAACTGAAGATGCTGGGGTATACAACAAGACTAGTTCTAGAACTGAGAAGGCGCTTAACATAATTAATTCTAAAGACATTGGAGGACAAAAGAACCAAAAACATAACAAAATACCTAAAGGAATTGACAAGGATAGGCTGTTTGAGAAGCAGGAAACAGACACTTTGGAGCACAGCTGGAAGTTAAATACACAGACGAGCCATAAGGATATCAAAGTACAGTGGACCCCCGATTAACGATCTTTTTTCATTCCAGAAGTATGTTCAGGTACCAGTACTGACCGAATTTGTTCCCATAAGGAATATTGTGAAGTAGATTAGTCCATTTCAGACCCCCAAACATAAACGTACAAACGCACTTACATAAATACACTTACATAATTGGTCGCATTTGGAGGTGATCGTTAAGCGGGGGTCCACTGTATTTTAGTCTCAAGAGGCAGTGGAGATGTCATGTCTGAGGGCAATGTGTGGTGTGAATATAATGCAGAGAATTCGTAGTTTGGAAGTTAGGAGGAGGTGCGGGATTACCAAAACTGTTGTCCAGAGGGCTGAGGAAGGGTTGTTGAGGTGGTTCGGACATGTAGAGAGAATGGAGAGAAACAGAATGACTTCAAGAGTGTATCAGTCTGTAGTGGAAGGAAGGCGGGGTAGGGGTCGGCCTAGGAAAGGTTGGAGGGAGGGGGTAAAGGAGGTTTTGTGTGCGAGGGGCTTGGACTTCCAGCAGGCATGCGTGAGCGTGTTTGATAGGAGTGAATGGAGACAAATGGTTTTTAATACTTGACGTGCTGTTGGGGTGTGAGCAAAGTAACATTTATGAAGGGGTTCAGGGAAACCGGCAGGCCGGACTTGAGTCCTGGAGATGGGAAGTACAGTGCCTGCACTCTGAAGGAGGGGTGTTAATGTTGCAGTTTAAAAACTGTAGTGTAAAGCACCCTTCTGGCAAGACAGTGATGGAGTGAATGATGGTGAAAGTTTTTCTTTTTCGGGCCACCCTGCCTTGGTGGGAATTGGCCAGTGTGATGATAATAATAATAATAATAATAATGATTGGGATGTGAAATGACTGATGAAAAAGTGGAGGAAGCAGGCTCCATACACACCTTAAGAACTGATATGATAGAGCTCAAGAGACTGGGGGGGAAGTTTATCTGGCAAACAGCAAGTTAAGCAGCTAGAACTCAACCCCTGCAACCACATTGGGTTTCAGGTCACCCTACTTCAATGGGAGATGATCAGCAAGTTAAATACAGTACAGCAATGATAATAACAGTAGTGATCTCTAAGGAAGCTGATAAAGAATTAAGGAAGAATTATTCTTACATTCATATTTAAAAAAAAAAAAAATTCAAGGGCAGAAGCCTCCCTGGCAACCACTCATTCAACATTTGCCTCCATTTTTACAACCATTTTGGTTCTCTAATATGTAGAATATTTTATGAAGAAACATGATAATTGCTACAAATGTTTGTAGTTTTTTTTTAGAAAATAGACCACAACAAGGGAGAACTGTTCTGCTAATTTTTTTGTCAGTATAAAACAAAAATGATTAAATACAGAAAAATATGAATAAGAATAAGCCTTCTTTCTATTATTCAGAATGCACTAACAGTACAAATAAGTGCCAAATGAGATGAAATATAGATAAGTCTATTTAGGACAGTTTTCCTCAGTTTCCCATGAAATAACCTATGAAGTACCATAACACTGCCCATAGCAAACAGGCAACTGCCATTACAAAAACTACAAAACAGCATTACAAAAAGTACGAGTTTCAAAATAATCCTAAGTATAATTATACATGCAATGCACAATCAAATATATTATGCTATTGCGAGCCAATTAAAAATCATTAAACATGCATATTTCTAATGAATAAAAACTGACCCCTTACCTGAATTTTCTTTATCAGCGGAAACAGTGGAGCGATTGCCATCCCTTGAGAGAGACCTATTAGAGGTAACTCCCTTGAGGCGGATGCGGTCACCTCGGTCCAGCTGACCTTCAGAGTTTGTGCTCTCGTCATTCTCTATCTCTGTTTATGTTATAAACAAATGTACATTTATTTTATAACCAAGGCTAAATAAAAAAAAATATTCATTAAAAGTGGAACATTAGGCATTAAACCAATACTATACATATATTACAGAGACAAACAAGTACAACATACAGTAGGGCCCCACTTATACGGCTGGTTAGGTTCCAGGCTACCGCCGTAAAGCGGAAACCGCCGTAAAGTGGAACACCCTTTTTTTCCACTTACAAATGCATACAAACACAAGATAACAAGTTTACACTAACATATATTAAGTTAGCAATAGAACCAGTCATCAAAAAAAAAAAAAACAATAAAAAAGTACAATACACACATAGTGCACTCATTACTTACTTTAAAATATTTATAGTCTTAATCTAGGGTGAGACAAGTAGTATTTATTGTAAGAAATCAAGTGTGGTATGTATGGTAGTCAGCCAGGCTACCATACCAGGCCACCCCACCCACACATACAATTCTATGATATTTAAGCATCCCAGAGCGATAAAATGTATATACAGTTCACTCATTACTTACCTTAAAATATTTGTAGTCTTAATGTAGGGTCAGGAGTAAGTAAATGAGATAAAACGAATAAATGAGAGAGAGAAAGAATGAGTGCATGAGAGAGTACAGGCGCAGAGTTATGTAAACAAACCAGGCGAAGGTAAGTTTTGTAAACAAAGTGTACACGTCTGGTTTGTGTACAAGTTACATTGTGTACAGGTTGTCTCTACATTGATACGGTAGAATAAATGAAGAACACTCCCATTCTCATGTAACATCATTTTGAGAAGAAATGATGCTCTGAGTGAATGCAATGGAAATAAGTCACTCTGACTTTTTTGGGTTATCCTAGGTTCTCTACACATATATTGTTATGTATGATAATCTATGTAACTTTATTTGTGTATACCTGAATAAACTTACTTTCATACATACGAAAGGAATAATTTTCTACAGTTACCCCCAGTAACACATTTTCTCTAATGTTAGATTAGAGAAAATGTTATTCTTGGCATCACTTGTACAAGTTATCTGGCTCCCACATCTCATATTTATGTTTATTTATTCTATTGTGGGGTGTATTTATCATCTTTTTATGTTATGTATCGTGTTTATTATATAATTTTGAAAAAAATATCATGGATGGATTAATGAAAATGTGTATATTAACGTAATATACGACATTTAATGAGACTCGGTGATTATTATTATTATCATTTCTAATATGGCGTCACTTGTGCAAGTCGTCTGCTACCACATCTCATATTTATGTTTATTTATTCTATTGTGGGGTGTATTTATCATCTTTTTATGTTATGTATCGTGTTTATTATATAATTTTGAAAAAATATCATAGATGGATTAATGAAAATGTGTATTTAACGTAATATACGACATTTAAATGAGACTCGATGATTATTATCAATACTAATATGACGTCTGGAGACATAAGACACTCTTACTGATTTTAATGTGTACCTGCATGCCAGCACAGTATGTAAGTTTATTTAAGTACAGGTATACATTATCAGAGTATATATAAAATATGAAATAACTTTTAAAAACATTTGAAATTTTGGAGTTTCCAGACAAAATGGAGAGACTTAGTGCTTACTGAGCTCACGAAGAATGTAAACAAACAGGGTGGGGCGTGGTGACCGTATTAGAAAGTCAGGTGGGGGGAGCCGTATAGCGAGTTTTGGTCATAATTTGAAATGACCGTATTAGTGGAACGCCGTAAAGTGAAACGCCATAAAGCGGAGCCCTGCTGTATACAGTGGTACCTTGAGTTTCGAACAGCTCCCAACTGGAACAATTATATAAGTGTATTTTTGGGGGGGTCTGAAATGGACTAATCCAATTTACATTATTCCTTATGGGAACAAATTCATTCGGTATCAGCACTCGAACAGCCTTCTGGAATGAATTAAGTTCGTAACCTGAGGTACCACTACATATACATGGGAAAGCAGTAGCATTAGTAGAGGTGTTAAGTAAAAGCAGTGTCATGTACCAAGATTTGTGCTAGAATCTTAGAGATTAATAACAATAATAACAACAATAACTAATAGAATTTATATTATTGATAATAAAATAAAAAATATTAACAATAAAATATATATAATAAAGCATTAATATATTAATATTAACATACAGAATTATGTTTCATTATAGTTCACAGTACATGTAAGATAACTATGACAGACCTTCACCCTGTGATATCATGTGCAAACAGAGTATATCAGGACTGGATATACAAAGTTCAAGATCAACCACCAGTGGCAATAACACCACTAATTATAAAAGGTATATTTCTTTTTATACACCAGGGTGATCCATCTGAATCTCAAAGCAACATATTAAAGTGCACTACCATACTTTTTTTTTTTTTGCTCATCTCTCCAACACACTGCTCCTCTACCTGTCCTTTTTGCCTTCTGAATAAAATTTTTACCAAGTCAAAAAAAAAATACCAATAAAAATAAAACAGCATTGCATACCATCATTATACGAAGACTCCTGATCCTTCCGAGACAATACATAGTTACGGAGACAGCGCCACATTAACAACATGAAATGAACTGTGCTATTGAGATCTAACTTGCGGCTAGCATACCGGTAGAAGCGGCGAGCTGCAGCACGGTTTTCCTCCAATAATGCCAAAGATCTCTGTACAAGTTCCTGCAACCATATTTAAAACTGCAATAAAATACAGTAGTATATAATTTATCAACATTATTAAGGTCATGCTTCTTCTGGGAAATTTGCTTCCTTGAGGGAGTGATCTTTATGTAGGGCCTATTCTAAAGATTTTAAACTGTAAACCCAACCAGCTGACACATGACATACAATGAAACTTTGTATTCAATATAACTAAGCCTAAAGAACACAAAGGCACAATACTGTGACCAGAACACACAAACAACCCACACATAGGAGAAAGAAACATTACAGCAACAATTTAGCCCGACTTGGACCATTAATGGTCCAAGCTGGACTGAAACATCGTCACAAGGCTTCTTTCTCCTATGTGTGGGTTGTCTGTATATAACTAAGCCTACTGCAAATGTGAGCAATCTCAATCAAATGTGCAAACAAGGTTTGTATCTGGCAGGAAAATGTCATATTCATTCCAAATATATTACAATTTCATTATACTAACTTTGGAATTCAGCAAAAAATCACACTATGTAGATTTAACCTAGGATAACCCAATATAGTTAATGTGACTTATTTTTTCCATGTTTTGATGAATATTGAGCTTTGAAACAATTGTAATATCAGATTTCCTTCATACTTGCGACGTGTTTGATATGCTGCTAGGTGAACAGGTGTCACACATTAGTTAAATCTCTATTAATGATTTTTTAGTAATTATGTAGCACAGGTGAATATAATAAAAGTGGGTTTTTATATTCAACTTGAATAGGCTGGGTTTTTAAAATGAAAAAGTTTCTTAACAACCCTGTAATGAAAAGATTAAATTATGGAAAAGTTCATCACAAAAACTAACACAACGGCCATCTCCCACTGATGAAGGTGAAAAAAAAAAAAAAAAAAAAAGTAACATTTATCATCATTAATTGAACCACTGTCCTGCAAGAAGTGTGCTGATATCACAGGTCAGATGACCATCTGCATTACTACATCTTCAACTCTCCTTTAGAGTGTAAGCGCTGTGCTTCTCAAATCTGGCTAACCGGTTTCCCTAAATTCCTTCATTTATGTTACCTTGCTCACACTCCAATAGCAAAAGAAGGCATAAAAACCACATCTCCACTCACTCCGACCAAACATACTCATAAAGTGCCAGTCTTTCTAAACAAGTTCCTCTTATAATAAGAGGAATTAATACAGCCTCTCCTCACTTAGCGACATGCTTGTTTACCAATGACTCAGACTTACGATGGGCTCTCTGACCAGTATGCATACCTAAATAATGTATATTAGAGCTGATTTCCTCTATTTTATTTATTACAATATACAGTACACTACTGAGTAAACATTTAAAAATATACCAGAAATGTTATAAATGGTGCAAAGGTGACAGTAAAACAAAATCAGAAATGACTGACACAAACCCACTACCATTATAGTATGCTCCTCAATGACGAATTCATTTACCAATGTGGTCTTAGGAACGGAACTTCATCGTTAAGCGAGGAGAGGCTGTACAATACTTCCAGTCTAGCATGTGGGGGAAAGGGGGGTGAGTAATGGGTTGTCTGTATAAGTCAACCTCCTACTGAGATCTCCAGCAGAAGACGACCTCAGCTGGAAGTCAAATTATACAATCAATGAACTCTTTTAATCATGTTCACATACCCCACATTTTTTTATGCTCATCCTATCTGGCCATCACTGCTACTGTCTACCTTCAAATTCACTCCAGTGCAGCTACTCTGTACCAAAACACAAATTCATAATGCAGCTGTAACCAAGATCTTCCTTTAACTAACCTCATCATCACGATGAACAGGATGGAATGAGCTGAGTAATAGCTGGGTAAGCAGTTTGCACACTACTGGTTTGTCTTCCTCCAGCCGATGCAGAAGGTGATGCACAGGTACTATATCCCAGTACCTTGCAATTATATGAGAGTTAACAGTGATGTAACTGGTCACTTTTCTTGTTTACCCAGTATACAGTTCTGCTAATGTGAAATTTTCTATATTAACCCTTTCAGGGTCCAAGGCCCAAATCTGGAGTCACGCACCAGTGTCCAAGAATTTAAAAAAAAAAAATTTGTTATTTTTTCTTATGAAATCGTAGAGAATCTTTTAGTGAAGGTAATAAAACAAAAAGTACGAAATTTGGTGGAAAATTGACAAAATTATGCTCTCGCGAATTTTGATGTGTCAGCGATATTTACGAATCGGCGATTTTGCCGACTTTGACTCCCATTTTAGGCCAATTACATTATTCCAATCAACCAAATTCTTAGCTATTTCACTAGTATTACTTCTATTCTATCGATTGAGCACAAGAAATCGCCAAGTCAACTGTTTCAACTACAAAATAAAGTGATCAGAAATTGTTAATTTGGCCAATTTAACACAAAGTTCAAAATATTCCAATTTCAAAATAGGGTCCAGAATGAACAATGTAGGCATTCCTGGCACTAAACTAACATTTCCTCTGTTCATTAGTTATGTTTTGAGGCTTTACAAATAAATTCCATTTTGATTTTTTATTCACATAATGAATTTTTATTCACACCAAAAAATAGAAGATTTACTGTTATGCAATACTGTAATAATTAAATAAATATCATCACCATATTTGTGAATGTATATTAGACCCACCAGCTGAGTGTATTAGCGTGTGAGGTCGTTTGTTTACTCTTGAATATCGGCAAAAATTTAACATTTCCGCTACTTTGAGCTCAGTTTCAAGCCTTTTTCCAGTGCTAAAACCAATCAAAATCATCTCTATTTCTGTAATATGTCTTCCATTCTATCAAATGAGACCAAGAAATCGCAAATACAACTATAAAAAACATACGAAAAAACACTGCAAAGTTGCTATTTTAATCGAAAAATCATGATTGCATTTTTTTTCTCTCATTATACACAGTGTGCTGCAGGATCTGTTTTATGTGGTGCACACATACCACATAGATGTATTCTCTCATATCTAGGCCCAAATGTACCACTCACAGTTTATCAGAGTGAGCTGAGCTCATGGCGTAGATCTACGGTTTGGACCCTGAACGTAAAGCCGTAGATCTACGGGACGGACCCTGAAAGGGTTAAAAACTGGACAGTACAATTAAATTAAAGCCACAAATGAAAATCTTTGGTCCAAGTTGAATAAAACTAATTCTGGTACACCAGGCACCTCAGATATAACCACACCTGGCTCCTTCACAGTGTCTTGCTTTTCAAATGTGAAGCACTTTGGTGAATGCATTCCAATCACTGTCTAGACAATCTTTGACTTCACTTTTTTTTTTTTTTTTTTAATGATTAATACAGAAGGGATTACTAAGCCCTTGCTCTCCATATTTTAGTCACCCTTCATGATATGCATGGCAATAAAGATTGAGAAGAAAAGCCAAAAGTCATCACGTCTAAAGTTATTATTTCAGCAAGTCAACTATATTTGACAAGTGCTCCTCTTATTTATGTGGTGATATTGTAATTTATGTCCCACAATTTATTAAGCAATATTGTCCATTTTTTAATGAATGAATCTCTTAGAGAATAAAAAAGGCACCATACTGTGACTGGAACAATGCACAAATAAACTTATGATGATGTTTGGTCCAATTTGGACCATTAACTAGTTAATAAGAACATAAGAAAGAAGGAACACTGCAGCAAGCCTACTGACCCATGTGAAGCAGGTCCATGTCCTGGATCCCCCTCAGATTAGCCCAATGACCCACCCAGTCTGGTCACCTCCACTCAAGGAATGAGCACGGCACCAAACCAAGCAGCACAAGCTAGTCAGGCCCAACTCTCACCCACCCACACCCACTCATGTGTTTATCTAACCTATTTTTAAAACTTCACGTTTTAGCCTCAATAACTGTACTCTAAGAGTTTGTTCCACTCATCCACAACTCTATTACCAAACCAGTGCTTTCCTATATCCTTCCTGAATCTGAATTTTTCCAACTTGAAACCATTGCTGCGAGTCCTGTCTTGGATGGAAATTTTCAGCACGCTATTTATATCCCCTTTATTTATTCCTGTTTTCCATTTATACACCTCGATCATATCCCCCCTAATTCTACGCCTTTCGAGAGAATGCAGATTCAGGGTCCTCAGTCTATCCTCATAGGGAAGATTTCTGATACATGGGATCATCTTTGTCATCCTCCTCTGTACGTTTTCCAGAGCATTTATATCCATTCTGTAATACGGTGAACAGAACTGAGCAGCATAGTCTAAATGAGGCCTAACCAGGATATATAAAGTTGAAGAACAACCTGAGGACTTCTATTATTTATACTTCTAGATATGAAGCCAAGAATTCTGTTAGCTTTATTGCAAACACTAATGCACTGTTGTCTTGGTTTTAGATTACTGCTAACCAGAACTCCTAAATCCTTTTCGCAATCAGTAGTACTATGATCTATATTAATTAGTTTATATGTCGCATGGTTATTTTCCTGTCCAACATTTAGAACTTTGCATTTGTCTATATTAAACTACATCTGCCACTTCTCCGACCATTGCATCAGTCTATTCAAATCATGGTCCAAATTGGTCCAAGTTGGACCAAAACGTCATCATAAGTTTCTTTCTCTTATGTGCGGGTTATTTGTGTATATGTGCCACTCTTGTATGTGTTGCACTTCCATAAAAAAGTTTTGAAGTAATCTGATATGTATAACTACTCAAGATAATGCCTAGAATGCACCTCCAAACATGCAATGCAAATCTACTGAAAAATGAGGCTTAAATAACCTAATTTCACTTAATGATAAAATTTTGTGTATTTTTCCATTAAAAATGGAATGCCAGTATGTCCCTCTTTTTTTATCACTGAAATAAGCACAGTAAAATCTTACCTGATAACTTTTGATGATTTCACCTTCAGCAATAACTTTACGAAAGCAACACGAACGTTAGCACTTATGTCATCAAAAACATCTCCAAGACGAAGTAACACTTCTGTAAGGAATGACACGGCATCTCTGGAGTCCAGAAGTAATGTCAAACCCTGCAGTGACAGTATATTTTGCTGTAATTTTAAGCATCACTGAAGAGTTAACACATTCTATCATAAATCAAACAATCAAATTACATTCTTAAAAACTGTATTGAATTTTGTATATACAAAACCTGGAATGTTTCATATTCAGAGCCAGCCAATTTTAACATGATACACAAAATGCCAGAACAAAACAGGGTGGGTGTGATTTTTAGCAAGCTTCATTACAGGTGCTCCTCCACTTACAATGGCTCCACTTATGATATTTCAACTTTATGATGGTGCAAAACCAATTAGTTACAGCAGTTGGTTTATTTACTTATTCAGTGACACTAGTTATTTATTTACTTATTTATTTAGCATATCATTCAAGTCAGACATATGATATTTTTGACTTACAATGGGTTCATCAGAACATAACCCCATAGTAAGTCGAGGAGCACCTGTATACGTATTATACAAAAAACTTATCACACCAATCCAAAAAAAATACATGTGAATGGACTTACTTGAACCAAATTTCTTAGGTTACAACAATAAAGAATAAAGAGCACAACGAGCAGTAATTTAGGTCCTAAAATGTGCAATTTAGTTCTATCAATTTAAAAACATCTCATATTGAATTTATTATTAATGAAGGAAATAGCCACAATGTAACCTCTACTCACACTTGTATAATATACTAACAAATTTAAAAAGAACTTACAAACCTTAATAACTTGAGTGCGAACTTCAGCTGATGAAGCATCATAAACTAGATCCGCAAGAAGCTTCTGAAAAATGGTCTTGATAATGTGTGAAGGAATCATAAGCCAGTAGTCTGTCAAGATGATGAACACGCCCTGTAAATAAGATTTGTTATGGTATTCAATACATAATTAACAAATAAATATTAAAACACGGTGAATAATGTTTGGTACGATATTCTCTTTTATGAACTATTTTAACTTTGGTGCATAAATCTTTGGTCCTTCATGCTTACATCTGGCCATCTTCTTCACCTTCATCTCCTACTCTTAAATACACTTCACAATTTCCTACAATCCATTTATTAAAAGTAAGCTTACCAGACTGTGAGAATCCTTAGTCATATGAGTTGGAGCATTTCTCACAACATATCTTTTCACAACAAGCATATTATTATACACTCTTCTATCCTCATAACACAACATGTTCATTTCATTGTTAAGGAATAAGGTTACAATACCATGGCTGGAACAATGGACAAATAATCCACACTATGGAGGGAAACTTATGACAGTTTTCATCCAACTTGGACCACTGACAAGTCACACTCATATATTATACGCTTCTTCCCTTCTTGCTTCATGGAACTTGTCAAAGTTCCAAGTCAGACAGAAATACTGTGATAAGTTCCATCTCCTAAGTGTGGGTTATTTCTGCATTTTTTCACTGTTCATTTATGGAACAATTAGAATTCATTCCCTGTCAATACATTAGGGTTGGAAAAATCACTCCATACAATCCTTCCTCATCTTTCTTCTTAACTAGAACTTTCATTGCACTATCCACTATTCTTCACTATAGCCATAGAATAATGTATAATAATGTACCATAAGAATGTCAGATGATCTATCACTTACAGAAGACAAGATAAATTCCACAGTACATACAGTACAAAAGTACATACAGTACAAAACAAGAAATAATACCATTAGTAATGATGGCCACATTCACTGTAGGTGAGATATCAAAGCTGGAAAAGATAGTCATTTACTGCCAACACAGCCAAAAATGTTTATATTACTGAGAATACCTCAAAATATATGTATAGTGGAACCTCAAATATCGAACTTTCTTCATTCTGGATGGCTGTTCGAGTGCTGTTACCGAACGAATATATTCCCATCAGGAATAATGTAAATTAGATTAGTTCATTTCAGACCCTCAAAAATACTTATAAAAGCAATTACAAAAATACACTTACATAATTGGTAGAGTTGGGAGCAGTTCGATATTTGAGGTTCCACTGTACATAATCACAATACTAGCTAACATATGCCCACCGAAGGCCAAGCTTTCCTAGCGACAGCCATTACCTTCACTTCACTTAACTGAATTACCAGCATCAGTGATAAGTATCTAAATTCACCAAAAATGCGAGTACTTATGCATTTACCTAGATTCCACAATTTTCTATCCTCTGTAATTCATTAATTTACTCTCATATACCTGCATATCTTTTTCACTATATTGATAAATATTAAATACTGCATTATATTCTGAAAAATCACTTTGCTCTCAGATTTAAAAAAAACTATTTTTCCATATTTTTAAATGCTTCACATCATTACCTATCTAACTTAAATTAGAAGAATACAAATCAATCAATACTTTTTAAATTTCTATAAAAAAATTTAAATTTATAGCTTCAGAAATTTTTAAAACTAAAGAAATTATAGCAGCATAGATTACTATTCTATATAACTCTTACCCTGATAGCAGCAATGCGAACTAGATGGCAGGGATCAACAAGCAGGGTGATTATGGCTTGATACTGTCTCTCATTGAGGTCACTTCTCTCCTCTGAACTGAGGGTGCTATCCACCAATGGGAAAGCATCACACAGCAGCCCAGTGGCATTCATACGTACCAGACCATTGGCAGCCTGCAAATAGGTAAAATACAAAATAAGACATCCTTTTAACTAACCTGTATTTTGATGCAAAAGACTGTATAATGAAGAAAGGTTTAAAAATTGAATAGCTGAGAGGCCCTCTCCTAAACCCGTTCTCAGGGTCAAAAATTTTTCGGAGAAAAAAAAAATTATTTTTTCTTATGAAAAGATAATCTTTTCCCAATCATAATGACACCAAAAGTATGAAATTTGATAGAAAACTTACAGAATTATGCTCTCGCAAAGTTAGCGGTCTCAACGATATTTACACATTGGCAATTTCGCCAACTTTGAGCCCTATTTTCGGCCAATTCCAGTGTACTAGTTGACAAAAATCATAACTATTTCACTAGAACTCCATTTTTTCTATCGAATGAGTAGAAGAAACCACCCATTTACTGATTTAAACTATCCAATAAAGTGGTCAGATATTAGCAATTTTGCCAATTTCACACAAATTTCAAAAGATGCCAATTTCCAAATAGGGTCCAGAATAAACAAGACAGACATTCCTGGCACTAAAACATTTCTTCTGTTCATTAATCATGTCCCCAGGCCCCTCTTACATTTCTTTTGCTTTCCATTTGAATTTTTATTCTCACAAAAAATAAAGATTTATTGTTATGCAGACTACTGCATTAGTGTAGAAATGGTATAAATAATATCAGCACACTTGTGAAAGAATATTAGACTCACCAGTTGACGTGTATTGGACGCGTGGCATGATTTGTTTACTTCTGAACTTTGGCAAAAATTGAACATTTCTGCTAATTTGAGCTCAATTTCAAGGTACTTTTCATCGTGAAACCAATCAAAATTGTCTCAATTTCTGTAATGTCTTTCATTCTATAAAACGAAACCAGGAAAACTAGAATACAACCATAAATACCATACGAAAATACAGTGCAAAGTCACCATTTTAAACCAAAAACATGGTCACATTTTTTTTTTCTCATTATGCACTGTGTGCTGCAGGATTTTTTTTATACTGTGCACACTGACCACATAGACCCATTCTTTCATATGTAGGCTGTTATATCTTCGAAATTGGTCATCCTGTGTTATTTAACTATTGTAAGAGAATATGTTCATCACTTAATATTATAGCGCGAAAGTCCCCGTTTATAGCTAAAATAGAGACTTTCGGCGTTATATTATTATCTGTTAATATGAAAAATACCATGGTATTATCACTATGTTATTATTATCACTACAGTATTTTGTTATTATTATCACTATTTTATTATTATTGTTAGGTAGGATTTCTTGTGTATATAGAGTTTAAGTCTCAGAACTATCCGGTGAATTGTTCAATTGTTTATGTCCGGCTGGCTGACGTTTGGGTCAGCTGATCCAACCTGACGACGCGTCAACAGACTGGCAAGTAGTCAGTCTGCTCCCTGCTCTAGCCCTGACAACTGATCATATATTGGCTCTTACGGTGTACAGTTTGAATGGTTTTGAGAATTGGACTCTAGAGCTGACTCAGTTTGTTCCTCATTGCTCTGAAAGATTCTTTTGATATTTATATTCTTGGTCAGTTCAGTAATCCATAGAGATACTTTACGGCCAGATTCAAAGGTCTTGTTAAATCTTGTACCTTTTGTATTTTGAGTTTACAGTCTTGTTAAGACAAAGACGTAAATGTTAATGAAGACTTAATTACAGGAAGAATAATTAAACTTCCTTATTAATGTGACATTTCCATGATTTTGAACTAAATGTATATGGCAAATTTATTGTACAAAGTATTAAGTTACATTAACTACAAGAAGATAAAGTATTGTATTTAAATACTTTAATAAATTTGAATATTATTCTATGGAGTTTCCCAGTTGAAATTATTTCCCCTAGACTCTAAAATACCTTTAAATAACTCGGATCCAAAAATCTTGTTGCATAAGAAATAAATGGTAACAGGCCACATTCTGAAGTTCTTTAAAAAATTTCTTATTCGCAACATAGGCCTACCAGCTTTCTCTCACTAGATTTGAAGGCACTAAGATTTAGGCATACTAGTACATGAATAACCCTGGTGTGTAAGCTGTACTAGTATACGTCGGAAACCTTGAAAGGGTTAAGTAACTTTTACAAACGTTAGTAATTCTTTATCTACCTGCATGCCACTGGCAAGACAGTGATAGTGTGAATGATGGTGAAAGTCTCTTTCGAGTCACCCTGCCTCAGTGGGAGACGACCAGCATAAAAAAAAAAAAAAATAACATGCAGGATTCCAAGATATCCAGTTTTCCATGCTGAATGCAAGCATTGCACTGCATTACAAAATGTATTGTACAAGACATGTTCAAACGCTAATGAAACATTTTTTTTTTTTAAACAAGTCAGCCGTCTCCCACCAAGGCAGGGTGGCCCAAAAAGAACGAAAATCCCCAAAAAGAAAATACTTTCATCATCATTCAACACTTTCACCTCACTCATACAAAAACCACTGTTTTTGCAGAGGTGCTCAGAACACAACATTTTAGAAGCATATGCATATAGAGAGAGACAACATATCCCTCCAAACTGCTAATATTACAAAACCCCTCCTTTAGAGTGCAGGCATTGTACTTCCCATTTCCAGGACTCAAGTCCAGCTATATGAAAATAACCAGTTTCCCTGAATCCCTTCACTAAATATTACCCTGCTCACACTCCAACAGATCGTCAGGTCCCAAATACCATTCGTCTCCATTCACTCCTATCGAACACGCTCGTACACACGTGCTGGAAGTCCAAGCCCCTCGCCCACAAAACCTCCCTTACCCCTTCCTTCCAACCTTTTTGAGGACGACCCCTACCCCGCCTTCCTTCCCCTACAGATTTAAATGCTCTCCATGTCATTCTACTTTGATCCATTCTCTCTAAATGACCAAACCACCTCAACAACCTCTCTTCAGCCCTCTGGCTAATACTTTTATTAACCTACACCTTCACCTAATTTCCACACTCCGAATTTTCTGCATAATATTTACACCACACATTGCCCTTAAACTGGACATCTCCACTGCCTCCAACCGCCTCCTCGCTGCTACATTCACAACCCAAGCTTCACACCCATATACGAGTGTTGGTACTACTATACTTTCATACATTCCATTCTTTGCGTCCGTAGATAACATTTTTTGTCTCCACATATACCTCAACGCACCACTCACCTTTTTTCCCTCATCAATTCTATGATTAACCTCATCCTTCATAAATCCATCCGCCGACACGTCAACTCCCAAGTACAGTGGACCCCCGCATAACGATCACCTCCGAATGCGACCAATTATGTAAGTGTATTTATGTAAGTGCGTTTGTACGTGTATGTTTGGGGGTCTGAAATGGACTAATCTACTTCACAATATTCCTTATGGGAACAAATTCGGTCAGTACTGGCACCTGAACATACTTCTGGATTGAAAAAATATCGTTAACCGGGGGTCCACTGTATCTGAAAACATTCACTTCTTCCATACTACTACTCCCCAATTTGATATCCAATTTTTCTTTATCTAAATCATTTGATACCCTCATCACCTTACTCTTTTCTATGTTCACTTTCAACTTTCTACCTTTACACACACTCCCAAACTCATCCACTAACCTTTGTAATTTTTCTTTAGAATCTCCCATAAGCACAGTATCATCAGCAAAAAGCAACTGTGTCAATTCCCATTTTGTATTTGATTCCCCAGAATTTAATCCCACCCCTCTCCTGAACACCCTAGCATTTACTTCTTTTACAACCCCATCTATAAATATATTAAACAACCATGGTGACATTGCACATCCCTGTCTAAGACCTACTTTTACCGGTCTTCTACACACCCTAACTTGAGCCTCACTATCCTCATAAAAACTCTTTACAGCATTTAGAAACTTACCATCTATTCCATATACTTGCAACATCTGCCACACTGCTCCCCTATCTACTCTATCATATGCCTTTTCTAAATCCATAAATGCCATAAAAACTTTCCTACCTTTATCTAAATACTGTTCACATGTATGCTTCAATGTAAACACTATCTACACATCCCCTACCCACTCTGAAACCTCCTTGCTCATCCGCAACCCTACATTCTGTCTTACCTCTAATTCTTTCAATAATAGCCCTACCATACACTTTTCCTGGTATACTCAGTAAACTTATTCCTCTATAATTTTTACAATCTCTTTTGTCCCCCTTTCCCTTTATATAATGGGACTATACATGCTCTCTGCCAATCCCTAGGTTACCTGGTTACCTGGAGGTTACCTGGAGGTTATTCCGGGGATCAACGCCCCCGCGGCCCGGTCCATGACCAGGCCTCCCGATGGATCAGGGCCTGATCAACTAGGCTGTTACTGCTGGCCGCATGCAGTCCAACGTACGAGCCACAGCCCGGCTGATCCGGCACTGACTTTAGGTATCTGTCCAGCTCTCTCTTGAAGGCAGCCAGGGGTTTATTATCAAGTCCCCTAATGCTTGATGGGAGGCTGTTGAACAGTTTTGGGCCCCGGACACTTATGGTGTTTTCTCTTAGTGTACCAATGGCGCCCCTACTTTTTATTGGCGGCATTTTGCATCGCCTGCCCAGTCTTTTACTTTCGTAGGGAGTGATTTCTGTTTGCAGATTTGGGACCATTCCTTCCAAGATTTTCCAAGTGTAGATTATGATATATCTCTCCCTCCTGCGTTCCAACGAGTACAAGTCAGTGCTTCCAAGCGTTCCCAGTAGTTAAGGTGCTTGACAGAACTTATACGTGCAGTAAAGGATCTCTGTACACTCTCTAGATCTGCGATTTCACCTGCTTTGTATGGAGATGTTAATGTACAGCAGTATTCCAGCCTAGAGAGAACAAGTGATTTGAAAAGGATCATCATGGGCTTGGCATCTCTCGTTTTGAAAGTTCTCATTATCCATCCTATCATTTTCTTTGCACGTGCGATCGTGGCACTGTTGTGATCCTTGAAAGTGAGATCCTCAGGTACCTTCCCCTCTTTCATACATTTATTAAACAAAAATACCAACCACTCCAACACTATATCCCCCCCTGCTTTTAACATTTCTGTCATGATCCTGTCAGTTCCAGCTGCTTTACCCCCTTTCATTCTACGTAATGCCTCACGCACCTCCCCACACTCACATCTTGTTCTTCTTCACTCCTAAAAGATGGTATACCTCCCTGGCCAGCACATGAAATTACTGCTTTCCTTTCTTCGTCGACATTTAAAAGTTCCTCAAAATATTCTCACCATCTACCCAAAACCTCCATCTCCCCATCTACTAACTCCCCTACTCTGTTTTTAACCGACAAATCCATTCGTTCTCAAGGTTCTCTTAACTTGTTTAACTCACTCCAAAATTTTTTCCTATTTTCGTTAAAATTTCTTGACAATGTCTCTCCCACTCTATCATCTGCTCTCCTTTTGCATTCTCTCACCACTCTCTTTACCTTTCTTTTACTCTCCATATATTCTACTCTTCTTATAACACTTCTGCTTTGTAAAAACCTCTCATAAGCTAACTTTTTCTCTTTTATCACACCCTTTACTTCATCATTCCACCAATCACTCCACTTTCCTCCCGCACCCACTCTCCTATAACCACAAACTTCTGCCCCACATTCTAATACTGCAGTTTTAAAACTATCCCAACCCTCTTCAACCCCCCACTACTCATACTTGCACCAGCCCACCTTTCTGCCAATAGTTGCTTATTTCTCACCCGAACTTCGTCCTCCCTAAGTTTATACACTTTCATCTCCCTCTTGCTTGTTGTTGCCATTTTCCTCTTTTCCCATCTACCTCTTACTCTAACTGTAGCTACAACTAAATAATGATCCGATATATCAGTTCCCCCTTTATAAACGTGTACATCCTGGAGCCTACCCATCAACCTTTTATCCAATAATACATAATCTATCAAACTACTTTCATTACCAAATATATATGACCCAGTCATATATACAGTGGTCCCTCGATAATCGTCGGGCTTGATAGTCGTCCTTCTCGGAAATCGTCGCATTATTTTCGTCCAAACACGGGCTCGCAAATGGTCGCTTGACTCGCTAATCGTCGTTCGTCCTGGATGCGTACTCACGGCTCTGAGCCGCCTCGGCCTCCCTTCCCAGCCGTGTGCCATTGTTTACCAGTGAGCGACGGTCCCCTCACTTGTTCATACGAAATATTTCATAATATTCCATTCATTTTAGTGCTTGCAAGTGCTAAATAAGCTACCATGGCTCCAAAGAAAGCTCCTAGTGCCAAGCCTTTGGTAAAGAAGGTGAGAAATACAATTGAATTTAAGAAAAACATCATTGAACAATATGAAAGTGGCGTACGTGTGGCTGAACTGGCCAGGATGTATAACAAACCCCATACAACCATAACTTCCATCATGGCAAAGAAAAAGGAAATCAAAGAAGCTGTTATTGCTTGGAGAAAATTGTGGCCAGACTGTGTCCACAAGAGGGATTTTGAAGGGTTTGTGGCTGACCCTGATGAGCCTGTCAGTTGTGAAATCTATTGTGGCATTGGGGAGTTCCATGGGATTGGATGTGAGTTTGGAGGATGTGGAAGAGTTGGTGGAGGACCACAACAAAGATCTAACCACTGAGGAGCTGCAAGAGCTTCAGCAGGAACAGCAACAGATCACAGCTCAGAATCTTGCTGCAGAGGCGTGAAGAGAGATGGAAGAAGGTGCCTTCTTCAGAAATTAAGATTTTTGAAATGTGGGGTAGGAGAGAAAGATTTATGGAAAAACATCACCCTGGGAAGGATGTTGCAAGCCATATTGGCAATTTGTACAGTGACAGAGTCTTGGCCCATTTTAGGGAAGTTTTAAAGAGAAGCCAGAAACAGAGCTCTCTGGACACTTTTTTTGCGAGATAGGACTCCAGTGACTCTCAAGCTGGTCCTAGTGGCATTAAGAAACAGAGAAGAGAAGTATGTAACCCCAGAAAAGGACTTGGTACCTGAGGTGTTGATGGAAGGGGATTCCCCTTCCAAACAGTAACTAATCCAATCTCTCTCCTCCTCCAGTCTCCCATACACTAAGAAGAATTGCCAATAAAGTTAAGTGTTATGCTGTTAATGTTTCATTCATCATGTCCCATTGTATTGTTTATGTACTACATCTATATTTCTGCAAGAAAAATTTTTGTTTTAATACTTCTGGGTGTCAGGAACGGATTAATTGTATTTACATTGTTTCTAATGGGGAAAATTGATTCGAAAATCGTCTATTTCGATCATCGTCGCACTTCCAGGAACAGATGAACGACGATAAACGAGGGACCACTGTAGTTTACTTTCTTTCCTCTGCCTTTCATAAACGTCACCTCTAATAGGTTTATGACTGGACAAACCATAAAAAAAATCTATCTGAGAATGCATCTATTTATAAAATACTCCTCTTATATTACAGGAAGATATTACTTGTGTTCTTTGGATGTTTTTACCGATACACATGGCCACAGTTCTGCTTTTCCCAGCATGTTTGGTGTGGGGCAGGATTTTTTTTTTATTCTGTGCACACTCCCCACATACACACATTCATATCTAGGCCAAAATTTGCCACTCACAGCCTATCCAAGTGAGCTGAATTCATGACAAAGAACTACATGAGGGATCCTGAACTCTGATGTAGTTCTACATGACAGCCACTGAAAGGGTTAAACAGTGTATGAAGTATGCCATACCACAGGGAACCAGGCTGTGAATAATGCAAGTCTTATACCCGATTTTTCCTGACTTTGAAGTTGCTGAGCACTGCAATTTTGGGTTTGTTATGCACCTTATATCAAGAAAAAACTCGCTAGCTGCTGGGTCATCACAGGGCATGAGGAGTACAATAACTTCTTCTTTCAACAAACCAGCCGTATCCCACCGAGGCAGGGTGGCCCAAAAAGAAAAACAAGTTTCTCTTTTTAAGTTTAGTAATTTATACAGGAGAAGGGGTTACTAGCCCCTTGCTCCCAGCATTTTAGTCACCTCTTACAACACGCATGACTCACGGAGGAAGAAGAGTAAAATAATCTAGGTAATAAATTCTCACAATGATCAGGTTGTACTTAAATCCTTCCCCCCTCCCCACTCAAATTTGTCCAATTTTTAAAGCTACACTTGACCATTTACCATATACATATACTGAACACTTCATTTCAACTAACAATTGCTGGTACGATGCATGCACTCCACAAGCGGAGATCCCTCCACTTTAGCATACAGGGAAACTGTAAAACTGTTTCAAGAAAAATAGTCAGTAATGACTAGCAACATTGCACAGCACACTAACTCATGGGCACAGTCTAATAGTACTCTAAGATATTTTAGCATTGTATTTATGGAAATAATGAAGATATTTCTTAGTGCTCTCTATTTATGAAAAACAATAGGTTAAAAATTAACAAGTCAAAGAGTACAATATAATTCAACCTCATGGGTGATATACTGGGAACCACAACTGCCATAATTAAGGAAAGCCTCACCTTAAGAGATCGCCAAATGAAAGGATCATAAAGTGTGAAAATGGTTGTAGCAACAGTGTGATGTCTTTTTTGACGATGTATATAATGGAGAAAGTGATGCAGATTAGCTGACAGTCGCCCAGACATCGGGTCCACGTGGACAGCAGCAAACATAAAATCCTGAATGCATTCCTCTTCCAGAACCTAAAATCACATAAAAGAGCAGGTTTTAATATTAAGAACTCCAAATTCCTTTCTAGGTAACTACATTAGGTAGTTACCCAAGAAAAACATCCAATCCGTAGGACAACAAACACCGAGGCAAAATGGTGGTTCACTGGACCCAAACCTCCCCCACTGAAACATGCAAGTATCAACAAAACTAACTAGATTCATGTTCATACTGTGCATAAAACAATTTTGAATTATATTTAAAGGGTTAGCAAGTACAAAGAATAGGGGGAGACATAGCAAAAGTTTGAGAGCAGTTGTTACCTGGGAAAGAAAATAAGTTAAATTCCAGACAAATAATATAAAGACATCAGTAAAAACAGGGAGATAAAGTAGCCCCTCACTGACTAAGAAATATGAAGACATGAAGAGAAGCATCAGCAAAGAGACTATATCAAGGCATTTTACAGTGGTCTGTGGTACTGGCTACACTTGTTTGATGAAGTCTTGAAAGTAATGGAAGTGTGCAGGAAGAAAATAAAAGCAAGAAAAGGATTATGCTCTTAGCAAGTCACAAGACGAGTGGGTAAGAAAGCCTCCAGAGGAAATAACAAGGCTTAGTGCACCAGATTTATAAATTGTAAGACCATAAAAAATGCAAAGGAAGAATAAAAAACAACAGACAAGACGAAAATCAAAGGGTAGAGTTTAAAGCATATACAGTATGTAGGTTGAGGTTATAACTTCTCTTAAAAGTGATCAAGAGTGACAAGAAACAAGAAGAGTCTAAGTATAAAAGGCAACAGCAATGACAGCCTTTCGAATGTAATCATTGTAATCAAGGACAACTATCCACTGCCACATATCAGAAGGAAAGTAAAATAAAAACAAAACTGGAGTGAATTAGAGGTGGGGTGATAGTAGTGCCAAGCCTCTCAACAACAATAACAATAATAATAATAATAAAAGCATTTTTCTAAATGTGGTTCAACTACGTCAAAGAATACTTGTGAAAAAATCCTTACACTTTACAACAAAATGTAAATCTAGCTAGAATCATGTACAGCATCCTCTCCTAACTAGGACACTGAACCTTTTCTACATAAAGATAAAATACACATACCTTCCTGACATCTCCCTGGCTAGTTTTCCAGGCTCTAAAGTAGATCTCAGCATACTTTTCACTCTGCAGTCTGGTACACCCCGGAAGTACCGATTTTATTTTTCTATGAAGACGAGAGATGAGGGATTGCCATGAGAAAAGTGCTGCAACCCATTTTACCCCCTCATCACTAGTCAGGAAGATTGCAGATGCAGCACAAGCAACCAGTTTTTCAACAAGTGGCTCATATTCAGGAGCAGTAAAATTGATTATTTGAAGAGACTCACGAAGTGCCCACAGTCTTGCCACATCTCTCTTCTGTTGAAAAATGAGAGTTTTCCAGTTGCTTTTTGCTGATGAAGAGAAGTTGCAAAGATTAGCAAGCAAATTTGAGTGTGTATATAAAAGAAGGAAATTAAAAGCAAACATATTTGATCAAAGAGCAAAGGGATGAGTAATAAATTTAGGCTGAGAGACTGAGTATCAGATTGGAAGGAGGAAGTACAGGGGAAGCAAATTTGTTCAGATATTTGGGAGTGGATCTCTTGGCAGACAGGTCCATGAAAGACAGGATGAATCAGAATTGATGAGGTAAAAAGGGTGGGTAATGCAATGAAGCATCTGTGGAGACAAAGAACATAACCATGGAGGCAAAAAAGGGTAATGTCTAAGAATATAATGGTACCAACACTACTAAGTGGGCATGAAACGAGGGTTTTATATTTAGCAGCGAAGAGGTTGAAAGGCAGTGGAAATGAGTTAAGAGGTGTGAATATTATGCAGAGAATTAACAGATTGGAGATTAGAAGGTATTATCCAAAGAGCTAAAGAGTGGTTATTGAGGTGGTTTGGACATTTAGAGATTAGAGGAAAATAGGATGACTTGAAGGCTATATAAATCTGTAGTGGAAAGGTGGGGCAAGTGTCATCCTAGGAAAGGTTGGAGGAAGGGGTAAAGGAAGTTTTATAAGAGAGCGGCTTGGACATCCAACAAGTTTGTGAGAGCGTGTTAAATAGGAGTGGAGGCAAGTAGTTTTTGTGATGATGTGCTGTTGGAATGAGATTAAGATTACATTTATGGGGGGATTTAGAGAAACCAGTTAGCTAGACTCAAGTCCTGGAGGTGTGAAATACAGTATGTGCACTCTGAGGGAGGGGTGGGAATACTACAGTTCAGAGGGGAATCTGAATTGTAGCATAGGTACATCTCTGGCAAGACAGTGGTAAAAGTGTTCCTTCTTTATCGGGTCATCATCCTACCAAGGTGGGAGATTGGCAGCCATGTTACATGTACAGTAAATCAGTATACGTATACAGTTCCTCCTAAAACACAAACGTTTATCTGCTGAACAGTCTCTCGGAGGCCTAAAAACATCTATCTATATTTCAATTTTGTTAAAGTGGTTTCTTACTGTTTATCAATCTTGTTTATGACTTTTAAAGTTACTACATCTTGCTTGTAGTCCTTAACCACATGTAATCCAATATTAATAGTCTAAAAAGGCTTACACTGTTTTTATTATAAGAACATAAGAATGGAGGAACACTGCAGAAGGCCTACTGGCCCATGCGAGGCAGGTCCTTATCAAAACGACCTCTACCTTAAGCTACCCAAGAAATAACTCCCGTACCCAATGACACCAATCAAACCCAGCCCCTCCCACTCATATATTTGTCCAGATTCTTCTTAAGCTACCCAAGGTCCTAGCCTCTATCACCCCACTGGGAAGACTGTTCATGCATCTACAACTCTGTTAGAAAACCAGTACTTAACTATGTCCTTTCTAAATCTAAATTTATCCAACTTAAATCCATTATTTCTGGTTATTACCTGGTTCGACACCCTCAGTACTTTATTACTATCTCCCTTGTTTATGCCCATCATCCACTTATACACCTCAATGATCTCCCTCATTCTATGCCTCTCCAGAGAGTGGAGATTTAAGGCTTTAAATCTATCTTCATATGGGAGGTTCCTTACACAGTAAATTATTTTAGTCATTCTTCTCTGTATGTTCTCTAATGAGCCTATATCCATCCTGTAGTAAGGGGACCAAAACTGAGCAGCATAATCTAAACGAGGCCTCACTAGTGATGTACAGAGCTGTAAAATAACTTTTGGACTTCTGTTACTTATACTTCTTGAGATAAATCCAAGTAATCTGTTGGCCTTGTTGTGCACACTAAGGCACTGCTGTCTTGGCTTTAGATTTCTGCTTACCATGACTCCCAAGTCTTTTTCACATTCTGTATGATCAAGCTCTACTTAACTTAGATTATAGCTTCGAGGGTTATTTTCATTACCAAGGGCTAGTACCTTACACTTATCCACATTGAACTTCATCTGCCATTTTTCAGACCAAGACATTAATTTGTCCAAATCCTCCTGGAGTTCATTGCTATCCTCCTCAGAGTGAATTATACGGCCTATCTTTGTATCATCAGCAAACTTACTCATTTTTTATTATTATTATCACACTGGCCGATTCCCACCAAGGTAGGGTGGCCCGAAAAAGAAAAACTTTCACCATCATTCACTCCATCACTGTCTTGCCAGAAGGGTGCTTTACACTACAGTTTTTAAACTGCAACATTAACACCCCTCCTTCAGAGTGCAGGCACTGTACTTCCCATCTCCAGGACTCAAGTCCGGCCTGCCGGTTTCCCTGAACCCCTTCATAAATGTTACTTTGCTCACACTCAACAGCACATCAAGTATTAAAAACCATTTGTCTCCATTCACTCCTATCAAACACGCTCATGCATGCCTGCTGGAAGTCCAAGCCCCTCGCACACAAAACCTCCTTTACCCCCTCCCTCCAACCTTTCCTAGGCCGACCCCTACCCCGCCTTCCTTCCACTACAGACTGATACACTCTTGAAGTCATTCTGTTTCGCTCCATTCTCTCTACATGTCCGAACCACCTCAACAACCCTTCCTCAGCCCTCTGGACAACAGTTTTGGTAATCCCGCACCTCCTCCTAACTTACTCATGTCACTCGTAATCCCTTCATCAAGGTCATTAATGTAAATTATGAACAAGAGAGGGCCTAAAACTGATCCTTGTGGAATGCCACTAGTAACTAATCCCCATTCAGATTTCACTCCATCAATGTTAACTCTCTTTCTATTTATAAGCCATGCCTCTATCCATGCTAGAACTTTACCTCCTATACCATGGGCTGCCACTTTTCTTAAGAGTCTCTTGTGAGGTACTCTATCGAAGGCTTTACTAAAATCCAAATAAACAATATCATATTCCTTATCACTGTCAACTGCCTCAAATGTTCTATTGAAGAACGTCAGTAAGTTTGTCAGGCAGGAACGACCTCTCGTGAATCCATGCTGAGATTCATTTATCAAGTTATGCTCTTCAAGGTGACTTCTAATAATGTCAGCTATAATTGATTCTAATAACTTGCCCACTATAGATGTCAGGCTTATTGGACGGTAATTTGAAGGAACGGACTTATCACCTGATTTGAATATAGGAACCACATTAGCCATCTTCCACAACTCTGGCATAACACCGTTAAGGATGGATGCATTAAACACATTCGTTAATGGCTGACTAATAACAAACTAGTGATATTACTGTATCCAGAAAAACTGTTCTAACAGAGAACTGTTCAGTGATGACATCAGGAGTTTCTAAGTATGTACACATCATTACTTTGTGCCCCCCCACTTCCCCCCCCCTTTTTTTTTTGTTTTACTAAGTTCCATACAGTACATATGCATAAAATACATTAACCTCAGCCACTTGTCATTTAAGATAGGAGAAAGAGAATGGGAGGAAGAGGAGGAATGGTTCAATACAGGAAATCCATAAGTTTATATTGCCTAAAAAAAAAAAAAAATTAGCTTTGTAGAGCTATACTCTTGTGGTATGATCGAACTTACTCGAGCAGTTTTACTTGTGGCAACATCTAGAATAAGAGGCAAGACATTCACGATGAGATGATCCTGCTCTTCGAGTCCCTTGAGCCACCAGAACTCACACAAGGTCACAACTCCAGTTTGCACTCGGCCTTCAAGCACACTCACCATCCCATGCAGCAACACTAGAAAAAAATGACCTGTGACAAATACCAATATTGCATCCTTAATTTTAACACACTGATAGCTATATACACTACATGACAGTTATATGCCTTACTGCTTGCTCATAGCACACAACTTATTACTACTGTTCCTGCATTTTTTGTACCATATAGTGTATGAGCAAGGTAACTTATGAAGGGATTCAGGGAAAACTAGTTTGCTAGACTAGAGTTCTCGAAGTGGGAGAGGCAGTGCCTGCACCCTGAATGGATGGGGATGTTGCAGTCAAGGTGACCTGAACTGCAATGTCAGCACACTTCTGGAAAAACAGTGAGTGAATGACTGAACGTGTTTTCTGTGTCGGGTCACCTGCCTTGGCGTGAGACAGCCATTAAGTTAAAGAAAAATTATAATTACTGGGAAGTACTAAATCCATAAGGGTCACACAGAATCTGGGGAATAGGGAGTAATCAGGTTTGATGCAAGGAAGGGGAGCCTAAGAATCCCTTGAATCAAGAGCCCTTCACCAACATCTTGGCACCCCCTACCTTGAGTATACCAGGAAAAGTGTATGATAGGGTTATCGAGAGAATTAGAGGTAAGACATAGTAGGATTGCAGATGAGCAAGGAGGCTTTCGAATGGGTAGGGGATGTGTAGATCAAGTGTTTACATTGAAGCATATATGTGAACAGTATTTAGATAAAGGTAGGAAAGTTTTTATTGCATTTATGGATTTAGAAAAGGCATATGATAGAGTGGATAGGGGAGCAATGTTGCAATGTTGCAAGTATATGGAATAGGTGGCAAGTTACTAAATGCTGTAAAGAGCTTTTATGAGGATAGCGAGGCTCAGGTTAGGGCGTGTAGAAGAGAGGGAGACTACTTCTCGGTAAAAGTAGGTCTTAGACAGGGATGTGTAATGTCACCATGGTTGTTTAATATATTTATAGATGGGGTTGTAAAAGAAGTAAATGCTAGGGTGTTTGGGAGAGGGATGGGATTAAATTATAGGGAATCAAATACAAAATGGGAATTGACACAGTTGCTTTTTGTCGATGATACTGTGCTTATGGGAGATTCTAAAGAAAAATTGCAAAGGTTAATGGATGAGTTTGGGAGTGTGTTTAAAGGTAGAAAGTTGAAAGTGAACATAGAAAAGAGTAAGGTGATGAGGGTATCAAATGATTTAGATAAAGAAAAATTGGATATCATATTGGGGAGGAGGAGTATGGAAGAAGTGAATATTTTCAGATACTTGGGAGTTGACGTGTCGGCGGATGGATTTATGAAGGATGAGGTTAATCATAGAATTGATGAGGAAAAAAAGGTGAGTGGTGCGTTGAGGTATATGTGGAGACAAAAAACGTTATCTATGGAGGCAAAGAAGGGAATGTATGAAAGTGTAGTAGTACCAACACTCTTATATGGGTGTGAAGCTTGGGTTGTGAATGCAGCAGTGAGGAGGCAGCTGGAGGCAGTGGAGATGTCTTGTCTAAGGGCAATATGTGGTGTAAATATTATGCAGAAAATTCGGTGTGGAAATTAGGAGGTGTGGAGCTAATAAAAGTATTAGTCAGAGGGAAGAAGAGGGGTTGTTGAGGTGGTTTGGTCATTTAGAGAGAATGGATCAAAGTAGAATGACATGGAGAGCATTTAAATCTGTAGGGGAAGGAAGGCGGGGTAGGGGTCGTCCTCGAAAAGGTTGGAAGGAAGGGGTAAGGGAGGTTTTGTGGGCGAGGGGCTTGGACTTCCAGCAGGTGTGCATGAGCGTGTTTGATAGGAGTGAATGGAGACGAATGGTATTTGGGACCTGACGATCTGTTGGAGTGTGAGCAGGGTAATATTTAGTGAAGGGATTCAGGGAAACCGGTTATTTTTATATAGCCGGACTTGAGTCCTGGAAATGGGAAGTACAATGCCTGCACTCTAAAGGAGGGGTTTCGGGATATTAGCAGTTTGGAGGGATATGTTGTGTATTTTTATACGTATATGCTTCTAAACTATTGTATTCTGAGCACCTCTGCAAAAACAGTGATTATGTGTGAGTGTGGTGAAAGTGTTGAATGATGATGAAAGTATTTTCTTTTCGGGGATTTTCTTTCTTTTTGAGTCACCCTGCCTCGGTGGGAGACAGCCGACTTGTTAAAAAAAAAAATATTCTTACTAGTGAAAAATAACTAAGTACAAATGCTTTAGCTGTAAATAATCAAGAAAGTAACATCAGTGACCATGATAATGCAGTGTCACTGCAAAACAAACCATAATGTCATATAGATATTTATCTATAATTTTTGTGTTAATTGTGAACTATTTTTGTAGTGGTATCGTGATTTTATTCTGCAAGTAGGAAGTACCTTTCTTGTGTAAAAGCCACACCAGAGAAATAAATCTCTTGCAAATATTTTAACTACTACCCGAGTACTGAAAGTACATATACATGCTTAAAAAATTAAATAAGGTTACCACCTGTTGACAATTATGTTCCCAGAGGAAAACTAAGAAAATAAAAATAATACATAAAAATAATACATTTAGGGGAAAGTGTTAAACCCATACAAGTCACAGCACCTGGACAATGATAGGTATCATGTTAGATCCAAGGAATGGGAGAACAGGTTCAATTTCTTGGATCAAGAGCCCCTAACCTGCATCAAGGAACATCCTTCAGGGGATAGTAAGACAATTTTCACTCCACCTAACTAAGAATTAAAGCTGAAGACGATGTACCAAGAACAAAAAAAAATCTGAACAAATTTTTTTTCTGAAAAATCAATTGAATTTTATTATATTTATTGGAACTAAACTAATAGTGGGACTTGTCACAGTTGCTCTTTGCTGATGACACTGTGCTTCTGGGAGATTCTGAAGAGAAGTTGCAGAGGTTGGTGGAAAAGTTTGGTAGGGTACATAAAAGAAGAAAGCTGAAACCGAATGTAGGAAAGAGTAAGGTAATGAGGATGACAAAAAAAATTAGGTAACGAAACACTGGATATCAGACTGGAGAGAGAGTATGGAGGTGAATGTATTGAGATATTTAGGAGTGAATGTGTCAGCAGATGGGTCTACGAAAGAGGAGGTGAATCATAGAATTGACGAGGGGAAAAGACGAGTGGTACACTGAGCAGTCTGTGGAGACAAAGAACTTTATCCATGGAAGCAAAGAAGGGAATGTAAGAGAGTATAGTTATGAGGCCTGGTCACAGACCGGGCCGCAGGGACGTTGACCCCCAGGACTCTCTCCAGGTAAACTCCAGGTAAACCAATGTAGTGAAACATGGGTGGTGAATGTTGCAACAAGGAGGAGGCTGGATTCAGTGGAGATATCGTGTCTGAGGGCAATGTGTGGTGAATATAATGCAGAGAATTCGTAGTTTGGAAACTAGGAGGAGGTGCGGGATTACCAAAACTATTTTCCAGAGGGCTGAGGAGGGATTGTTGAGGTGGTTAGGACATCTAGAGAGGATGGAACAAAATAGAAAGACTTCAATAGTGTATAAATCTGTAGTGGAGGGAAGGCAGTGTAGGTCAGCCTAGGAAATGTTGGAAGGATGGGATAAAGGAGATTTTGTGTGAGGGGCTTGGACTTCCAGCAAGCATGCGTGAGTGTGTGAGATAGGAGCAAATGGAGACAAATGGTTTTGAGGACTTGATGTGCTGTTGGAGTGTGAGCAGGGTAATATTTACGAAGGGATTGAGGGAATCCGGCAGGCCAGACTCGAGTCCTGAAGATGGGAAGTACAGTGTCTGCACTCTGAAAGAGGGGTGTTAATGTTGTAACTTTATAACTGTAGTGTAAGCACATCTCTGGCAAGACAGTGATGGAGTGAATGATGGTGAAAGTTTCTCTTTTTGGCCACCCTACCTTGGTGGGAAATGGCTGATGTGTTAATAATAACAAAAAAACAACAATTAATTGCACAAGATGCAAAATATTCAAGAAAATAAATTAGTTTCGCAATGATAGTAAAAAGCTCACCGGCTAATTCCAAGAATTTGTCTGGGATGAAAACCTCTCCATCTTTGAAAGTGTTGAGGTAGATGCAGGCAAAATCCACTATTCCTTCCATAAGCTTCTCATTGTATGGCTCATGAAGTTCCTACAAAGATTACACGATACAGAAAATCTCAAAATTAAGTTAATATCAATCAGAACACCATATGCAATACCCAGCCTCACTAAGGATTCAGAGATATTACTCCATATGCTCTTTGTTTGTCAAGTATGAAATTTTAATACAAATTTCATACTTTTATCAACATAAACTGCAAAAATAACAGCACAATGATTGCACAAATGCAGGCTAATCTAGTGGCAACAGTAAGGACCATTGCTACCGATGGATTAAGTAAACATCGTCTGAACATTTTCATACACTTGTGGTTTAAGGTAAATGTGCGGTTATGTCAGTAGGATAACGTGGGTTTACTTCTACATGACAACTTTTTGAAATTCATTTTATTCTTAATTAAATTCATCTTAATGTTAATTAATGCCAAGTTCATTTAACCATTTAGTAGTACAAGGTACAGAATCCACTTTAGATTACTGACTAAACATACCTCTGCCTCTTTGTCTTCTTCACTTTCTCCTGCCATTTCTGCACTTTTTCTTGGCTCTGAATTTTGCCCATTTTTCTGCACACTGTCCATTTGATCTCCATCTTGTACCTGTTGAGACTGATGATGATTCACTTCTTCCTCTGGCCTACTGTCACCAACAAATTTTTTAAGTTGTTCATTGACCCAAGAGTGAAGACTCGTCCACATCCACTCTATTTGCGTTCGGCTTAATTCCAACACAACTTCTTCCAGATCGACAGTGCTTCGTTTACTTCCCTTAAATAAATGATACAATATTTTTGAGTATACAAATGCTGCATATAGAAATTTCTTACATTATGTTACAACTGGATGTCTCATGGTTTATCACACAACTGTCAAAATATAAAATACAAATGTAAACATTATACATATAATACACTGTACCTAAGTGCTTTTCTCACTGAATTTTGATACGAGGAATAATTTATAAAACTTATTACAAATTGCTATACAATATGCTTTTCACAAGAATTACCACTCATGATAATAAACAAAACAAAGAAGTATACACAGTACAGCATATCATATCAAGTCAGGTGATATTGTATATACTGTGCAAGGCAAACTATTACAAAAAACTTACATGGTTTTGAATTAGTTTTACAAAATCTGCATGATGACCTTGTTCCACTGCTGTCAGGAGTTCTTGCTTTGCCATCGTACTGAGTAGGATAATGCACAACTCAACACCTGATGCAAGTATAAGCATTAATACAGTATGTACACAGATGATAATGACATGTGATAAAGATGCTGGATTTGGAAATGAAGACATAGGTGGAGATGATAGATATGAAGATAATAAAGATGTTAACAAAGAAATGAGATGATGGCAAGGGAAGAAAAAAAAAATGATTATGGCAATATGATAACATCTGGATTGATTTTTAACCTGGAGGGTTAGCCACCTAGAATAGCCTAAATAAAGTCTGTGGCGCATCAGGGACAGTCGATCTTATAGCCACTAGGATCCTTCAATCTTTTCACCCAGGATGAAACTCAACAGTCAGCTAACAACCAGGTACAGTGGACCCCCGACATTCGATGGCATCGACATTCGATAAATCCGACATTCGATGCATTTTAACGCAAAAATTTCGCCTCAACATTCGATGGAAAACCAGACATTCGATACGAGTCGTACGAGACGTGTCCACGTGTGGCCTGAACTGCACCGTGTGTGCCAGTGTTTACAAGCCAGCCAGTGTGCGCGCATCTAAGGATACATTCGGTACATTCCATATTATCCATATTATCACTGTTTTTGGTGCTTGTTTCTGCAAAATAAGTAACCATGAGCCCCAAGAAAGCTTCTAGTGCCAACCCTTCGAGAAAAAAGGTGCTAATGACTATTGAAATGAAGAAAGATAATTGCAAAGTACGAAAGTGGAGTGCGTGTGTCGGAGTGCATGATGATTTGGTAAAAAACTTGCCTGCAACTAGTGGTGATGTGAGTGAATTTAAGGCCAGCAAAGGTTGGTTTGAAAGATTTAAGAATCGTAGTGGCATACACAGTGTGGTAAGGCATGGTGAGGCTGCCAGTTCAAGTCCTAATGGAAGGGGATTCCCCTTCTAAACACTAACACCATCCACACACTCCCCTCCTCCCATCCCATCAATCACCACCAGATTTTTATTAAAGGTAAGTGTCAATTATTCTATTGTTATTAATCTATTGTTATTGTTGTTACTGTAATTATTCTATTGCATTAAACTTAATATTTCATGAGGTAATTTTTTTTTCATACTTTTGCATGTCTTGCACGGATTAATTTGATTTCCATTATTTCTTATGGGGAAAATTAATTCGACTTTCGATATTTTTGACATTCGATAGCTCTCAGGAACGAATTAGTATCGAATGTCGAGGGTCCACTGTATTTTCTTACAGAGGCAGCAGGTGTAAAGAAGCATAACCAATATTTCACCCTTGTCAGGGAGCAACTCCTGGTCCTTCAGTGTGTGAGCCTAAGACAGCATCAACCAAGTCATTAGTGCCCATCACCATTATTTTATTTGCATTGTATGATATTAATAGTATGTTTTACATTATATGTATATAGACATATATGTACATAGAGAGATTTATTTACCATACAAAAGTCAGGTAATGCTTAACTCTCAACACCCTAAACACAGCCAATTTTTCTTTCCTAAGGAAAATTCAGAACGTCATAAAAATTCCAACAAAATTTTTAATTACGTACTTAATTTTAAAAACTACAAACTCCCCCTGGACATAAGTAGGTAAATCAAGGGACTATGCCACTTCCGTTTTTCACTCAGTCCACTGGGGGTTCAATATTTATGGCTTCTCTGCAACTCTTAAGGAAGCTACTTGCAAGGGTACTGTACAGTGTCCAGTGGCTTGGTAGGCAACGCTCTCGCATCACAGATTGTCTTCAGTTCAATCCCTGGTATGGGTGGAAACATTAGGCATGTTTTCTTACACCTGCTGTCCCTGTTAACCTAGCGATAAGTGGGTACCTGGGTGCTAGTAGACTGATTTGGATCGCATCCTGACTGACTTTCTTGAGTTATCCTTGGTGGCTAACCCTCCCTCAGGTTAAAAATCTGAACAAACCTCATCTTATCCTGCTCAAGGATATTTTCTTCAGATTATTAACCCTGAGAGTAACACAGGATAACCCACAAAAATCAGAATGGCATTGAGAACAGTTCATCTTATTTCCAATTTGTTCCTCTAATCCTCTCCTCACTGGATGCAACCCCCATAACAGTCACCCAACACCCAGGTACCTACTTACGTACTACAAGGTGAACAGGGCAGGAGGTGTAAGGAACACACCAACACTTCCACTCGTACCAGGAACTGAACCTGGTTTCTCAGTGTGTAAGCCAGGGTAGCTACCAAATGAGCCTTCCTCCATGGAAGGAATAGCATTTCTTAATTCCTCGGATCATGATCTAACTAGCATCAAAGCACTTTCAAAACAGCCTGCCTCAGCTTACACTGAGGAACCAATTTTGTCCCCAGAGATGAGGAAACAGATGTTTCCATACACCTGCTGCCCCTGTTCACCCAGCAGCTATTATGTAAATGGAAATGGAAATAGTGTCACTTTGCCTGACTTTTTTGGGTTATCCTAGATTCTCTACATATATACTGCTATGTATGATAATGTATGTAACTGTATTTGTGTATATCTGAATTTGCTTACTTACCAACGAGTTGATAAATAAGATGCTTGTACAACACTTGCGAATCTTTATTAAAAAAACGTTTCACCAGCCAGTAGTTTCTTCTGACCATTACGAAGAAGAATAGTAGACCGAACACCCTTAGAGTCGGTTGTGTTCGGTCCATAATACAGATTCCCAAATATTGCACAAGTGTCTCATTCTAAGATTAATAGTTTGTAGATGGCTGGGTGACGGATGTTGGTTGCATCCCGGGGGAGAGGACTAAAGGAGCACAATGGTAATAAGCCCGGCAGTGTAACATGGCATCATAGGGTTATCCTGAGGTATTAACCCTTCACTTAAATAATCCCATCAAAATGTTACTCCGGACATTATACCATCGTAGTATATATATATATAGTACTTACCAGGAGCTTCTCCTCATACCTGGGTCATATTAACATGTAAAACTGATATTATATATTACCTTGTTTTATTCACTATAATTCAGATTATATATTTATAATGCTAAACCTGTAGGAGTCATACAGCACCTGGGTGAAGGGAAGGCGTTCTAGTTTGATTCAAGGAACTGGAGCACAAAACCAATTCCTTGGATCAAGAGCCCTCACCAGTCATCAAGGAACTTCTGGAACTGATCCTAAAGGAACCGTCACAGTGTTTGCCTTCACTAGGTTATCCATACTTAAAAATCTATATAACTTACTATATACATATGTGTCCTTAATAACAATCTACCATCAAAAAACAAGTCAAAAACGTCAAAATAAAACGTAAACAAAAACCCTCCGAGTTGACGAGTCATACCACTTACCTTCTTTCCCTTACAATACATCAACATTCACAATTAAAACACAAGTAAAACACCCACAAAATACCTTATTTACTGGCCCAAGTCAAGGTAAGAGAGAGAGAGAAGCAGTAGAGGTGTGAGAGCAGCAGCAACAGCAGCAGCAGTGTGATGCTTGGCGGCCTCACAGTTTAAACTGTGTTCCAACACTCTCACAACTCACTAATTTACCCACAAATATACATCACAATTATTATATTTGGATATTCATGAAAAAATAAAAGTTTTATTTATTTATTTCCAGTGAGGTGGGAATAAATTGTATAAAATACTGAAATGATGGGCAAAATAAATATAAATGTGCAGACACAGTGGGTTTTATTAAGGCACAAATAGATTTGTTTGTGACTTGATATAGTTTATTCGAGTCCTTTATTTCCAGGTACAGATACACATAAGTACCGTTATCATATATTGGTTGACATGTGTGTAAATTACTTAGGATCCCCTCCCCCTAAGAAGGTCAAAGTAACTTATTTCCACTGGTGTCCTGGGTTCGAATCTTCTCTGGTACGGCCGAAAAACATTAGGGATGTGTTTCCATAAGTCCCCTCCTGTCCCTGTCCCTGACTCTGTCCCTGTCCCTGGTCCTGTTCCTGTCCCTGTCCCTGTCCCTGGTCCTGTTCCTGTCCCTGTCCCTGTACCTGTCCCTGTCCATGTCCATGTCCCTGGTTCTGTTCCTGTATCTGTTCCTGTCCCTGTCCCTGTCCCTGTCCTTGTCCCTGTCCCTGGTTCTGGTCCTGTCCCTGTCCCTGTCCCTGGTCCTGTTCCTGTCCCTGCCCCTGTGCCTGTCCCTGTCCATGTCCATGTCCCTGGTTCTGTTCCTGTATCTGTTCCTGTCCCTGTCCCTGTCCCTGTCCTTGTCCCTGTCCCTGGTTCTGGTCCTGTACCTGTCCCTGTTCCTGTACCTGTTCCTGTCCCTGTCCATGTCCCTGGTCCTGGTCCTGTTCCTGTACCTTTTCCTGTCCCTGTTCCTGTACCTGTTCCTGTCCCTGTCCATGTCCCTGGTCCTGGTCCTGTTCCTGTACCTGTTTCTGTCCCTGTCCCTGTCCTTGTCCCTGTCCCTGGTCCTGGTCCTGTACCTGTCCCTGTCCCTGTCCCTGTTCCTGTTCCTGTTCACCCATCAGTAAAATAGTTACCTGGGTGTTAATCGACTGGTGTGGGTCGCATCCTGGGATGCGTAATTTCGCTGGACCAGGAGCTGTAACTCGACCGCAAAAGCTACATATAGGTGAACACACACATAATTTAATATACATCTTTTATTTTGAAGAATAAAATCCACAGTACTCTTAATTAGAGCAGTTTCAATTAGCCCGAAATTTAGAGATGTAACCATGACTACGATAGAATTATAAATGATATTTTATCTAATACTTACGTAATACAAGAACCCTCAGAAAATCAACATATTTTAATTTTTAAAGGAGTGAACTGATAAGCCAGTGGAAGGCCTCAGTCAGATAACCAAAACCTCCAGTGATTAAACCGTCTCCTGTTTCCTAATGAATCTTACCTAATAAGTCACTATGTACACTGAGAGGTATACTTTCCTCGAGTTTGTTTAATCCATAAAATAGGGGTTAAATTATCCTTGTTACTCTGTGAAAATGTGAGATACAGCCTTAAGGGCTCTGTCGTAAATGACAGGTTTTGAACCTTATTAACCTGGGCCTACCAGGCCAAAAAGTTACTTTGACTTTACTGATTTACTATGGGTAATATGTACATATGTTACGCTACTTTGTAAGACAATTGTAATAATATAAACTTGTGTAATGTACATAAATAAACATATTAGTTATTTCCAAGGGAAACTGCACGAATTTTTGTCGTAGTTTGAGAAACTGTTCCAATAATTGACTTTATTCTGATAAGTAATTATGATTATTATTATACTCAGAGATGATACAGTGCCTGTAGAGGGGGAGATGATACAGTGCCTGTAGAGGGGTAGATTATACAGCGCCTGTAGAGGGGTAGATTATACAGCGCCTGTAGAGGGGGAGATGATACAGTGCCTGTAGAGGGGGAGATTATACAGTGCCTGTAGAGGGGGAGATGATACAGTGCCTGTAAGGGGGAGATGATACAGTGCCTGTAGAGGGGGAGATGATACAGTGCCTGTAGAGGGGGAGATGATACAGTGCCTGTAGAGGGGGAGATGATACAGTGCCTGTAGAGGGGGAGATGATACAGTGCCTGTAGAGGGGGAGATGATACAGTGCCTGTAGAGGGGGAGATGATACAGTGCCTGTAGAGGGGGAGATGATACAGTGCCTGTAGAGGGGGAGATGATACAGTGCCTGTAGAGGGGGAGATTATACAGTGCCTGTAGAGGGGGAGATGATACAGTGCCTGTAGAGGGGGAGATTATACAGTGCCTGTAGAGGGGGAGATGATACAGTGCCTGTAGAGGGGGAGATGATACAGTGCCTGTAGAGGGGGAGATGATACAGTGCCTGTAGAGGGGGAGATGATACAGTGCCTGTAGAGGGGGAGATGATACAGTGCCTGTAGAGGGGGAGATGATACAGTGCCTGTAGAGGGGGAGATGATACAGTGCCTGTAGAGGGGGAGATGATACAGTGCCTGTAGAGGGGGAGATGATACAGTGCCTGTAGAGGGGGAGATGATACAGTGCCTGTAGAGGGGGAGATGATACAGTGCCTGTAGAGGGGGAGATGATACAGTGCCTGTAGAGGGGGAGGTGATACAGTGCCTGTAGAGGGGGAGATGATACAGTGCCTGTAGAGGGGGAGATGATACAGTGCCTGTAGAGGGGGAGATTATACAGCGCCTGTAGAGGGGGAGATTATACAGCGCCTGTAGAGGGGGAGATGATACAGTGCCTGTAGAGGGGGAGATTATACAGCGCCTGTAGAGGGGGAGATTATACAGTCACCCTGCCTTGGTGGGTCACCTTGCCCTGGTGGATCACCCTGCCTTGGTGGGTCACCCTGCCTTGGTGGGTCACCCTCCCTTGGTGGGTCACCCTGCCTTGGTGGATCACCCTGCCTTGGTGGGTCACCCTGCCTTGGTGGATCACCCTGCCTTGGTGGGTCACCCTGCCTGGGTGGGTCACCCTGCCTTGGTGGGTCACCCTGCCCTGGTGGATCACCCTGCCTTGGTGGATCACCCTGCCTTGGTGGGTCACCCTGTCTTGGTGGGTCACCCTGCCTTGGTGGGTCACCCTGCCTTGGTGGATCACCCTGCCTTGGTGGATCACCCTGCCTTGGTGGGTCACCCTGCCTTGGTGAGTCACCCTACCTTGGTGGGTCACCCTGCCCTGGTGAATCACCCTGCCTTGGTGGGTCACCCTGCCTTGGTGGATCACCCTGCCCTGGTGGATCACCCTGCCCTGGTGGATCACCCTGCCTTGGTGGGTCACCCTGCCTTGGTGGGTCACCCTGCCTTGGTGGATCACCCTGCCTTGGTGGGTCACCCTGCCTTGGTGGATCACCCTGCCTTGGTGGGTCACCCTGCCTTGGTGGGTCACCCTGTCTTGGTGGGTCACCCTGCCTTGGTGGATCACCCTGCCTTGATGGATCACCCTGCCTTGGTGGGTCACCCTGCCTTGGTGGGTCACCCTGCCTTGATGGGTCACCCTGCCTTGGTGGGTCACCCTGCCTTGGTGGGTCACCCTGCCTTGGTGGATCACCCTGCCTTGGTGGGTCACCCTGCCCTGGTGGGTCACCCTGCCTTGGTGGGTCACCCTGTCTTGATGGGTCACCCTGCCCTGGTGGGTCACCCTGCCCTGGTGGATCACCCTGCCCTGGTGGGTCACGCTGCCCTGGTGGATCACCCTGCCCTGGTGGATCACCCTGCCCTGGTGGATCACCCTGGCTGCTGATTCACCGCAGTTCGTGTGATACTGCCTTCGCCTCATAACCGAAGGACACAGGTTTGATCCCGGCACGAATGGATATGTTGTGTTTTCATTACTTCCGTTCACCTGACAATATAAGTACGTACCAGGGTGTTTGCTGAGTGTTGTGGGTCATATCCTGGGAAAGAGGATCAGAAGTCCCCAATTTTATTAAATAAGCCCTAAAAATAGTTCTCTTGATTCGTAATCCTCCGATTAAAATCGATTTCCTTGATGAGTGAAAAATTAAAAGGTATATGTGGTAGCTTCAGGACACAAAAAAATCAATAGATCGGTACTTTTTATTAATAGAGCACCACAGAGCAGCGCATATGGAAGACTATGAGAAATACATGTACACACAGGAATGTCCTCTGCAATGGCTGACTCAACATTTTCAAAAAAAAACCACATACATTGGAATATATGGGCATGACTACGTGTCTTAAAATATGTTAAGAGGCAGGTCATTAATCTACTCTGCTATGAAACTCTTCCATTACATTCTAAGCATACATATTTCTTCAATACTATGATGTAACTTAAGTCAAGTTTTCCACTGATGACTCAGTATAAATAGTCTTGTAACAGAGGCTTAAATACATATATAACCGAGTCACATACAGTTAACATTATAAATATATATATAATACAGAGTAGTGACAAAACTTATATGAAATAATACATATCTTACAAGAAGAGACCTAAGTTAACTCAGACATAAAATAACGTTTGATTAGATATGCTGTAACTTATACAAAATTAATATTACTCTCGTGAAATAGAGTATCTTTACTTATATCTAATATATTAACATATGAAAATGATCCATTACGGTACTTACATGGGGAATCCCTGAGTCAGTAAATTGTTGAAGACTTTAATTGGTACAGTAGCGCTGATTTTAGTAGCCCATTTTTTATTTATTAAAATAATATTTAGTAAGTACAGAACACGACTCGACGGAACAGTCATCACTTCTAATCAAGTATTATAATCAAGGGGAAATGCCAAACCTGTAGGGGTCATACAATACCTGCGAAATGGGAGGTAATGAGGGTTGATCCAAGGATGGGGAGGGGAACCACAATTCCTTGGATCAAGAACCATCTAAAATTGTCAATAAACTGTATAAAATATTCAATCTTACAAGACACATATAATGTATACACATTATAATTATAATGATGGAGAAGCTCTAAACCCTTAAGAGTGATACAGCACCTGGGAACATATGCACAACTGTCCCAATGGTAACTTTTATACTTAAATCTGTACCTAATCAACCTACCATAAATAACATCTTTAAAGAGA